CCCCCCCCCCCCCCAACGCTTTTACTTTTCCTCCCTGGTCGCTCGTGATTTTTATTCTTTTTACTCAGATCAGATCGGTTAAGTGCTCATTGTAGAGGCTTCAAGCTGTAATGTCAAAGCAGCGGTTTGTAAATGTGATTTGATGTGACCTGCTAAAGTTTTGCCCCAGTGTTTTGAACGTGTTCGGCTTTAAATTGGGTGCCATCCAATGAAAGCCCCCCGTCATATTTTGACCTACTTAACAGCCTATGAAATTGGTCCAGCCCTTTGATTCTTCACTATTCCCAAAACATATAAAAACCAGAGATAAAAAGCATGTATTCAAGTGAGGCTCCAACCAGTGAAACATGACCAAGATTAAGTAGAAAATAGTTGCACTCTCCATTCTCAATTTGCTGTAAATGTCACAACAATTAGATGAAATTTGTGGGAATCTCTTGTCGCTGCCGCTCACCTCTAGAGCTGTAGGTGCCTAAACATTTACAAAAGGCAGTAAGAATTTCAGATAAATGTCATTATTTTATGTTTTTATGCCTGTGATGTTTATTATCACCATAACTTCACTACAAGAAGCCTGTCTGTCGCAGTGATTCAGGTTTAAGAGCTGTGGCACAGAGAGGTTACGAGACATAAGAGGACAAACCTATTTGTCCATAGGCCATGCTGATGAGACGCTCATTGACCAGCTTGTCTGTCTTGGGGTTCCTTGGCTGGCGTTTCATGATGTCGCTCTCCGCTGTCTCGTAAGCCAATGAGATAGCTGGAACCTGGGAGAAAGGGGAGGACAGAACAGAATCGGCTCATTTTATGCAGCCTGTACGATAAATGTGCAGGAATTTGTCTTCGTGGCATCGGGACAAAGGCGCGATGACAGTGCCAGACATGGAGTAGACTAGACATGGCACTATTAATATAATTCAGCATTCAATCACCGTGTGGAGAGAGAAAAGACAGAAAAAGGGCAAGGAGAGGGGAAAGAAGACGCAGTGACAGTGATGGAGAGAGAGCCAGGGAGAGGAGACAAGTGGAGAGAGAGACTGATAGTGAATTTCAAGACACTCATAAAACGGGAGGGTAGAAAGGTCCCTGTAATAAAGATCTTATATTGGCTGGTTTTACCAGGTAAGCAACAGAGCAATATGTGTGACTTAGAGCAGGAAATCTCTGCGACTTAGGTGGGATTTGAGGTGAAGACTTGGCACTGTGTGAAAGCGAACACATGCTCTGTAGTGGACAAATCCAGTTTGTTTTGGTGTTACACTCCCCTGACCCACAGCAGTTGAGAAAGACAAGGAGAAGGGAAAGGGATATGACACAACACTGAAAGCGTGTGCGTGTGTGTGTGTGTGTGTGTGTGTGTGTGTGTGTGTGGGAGAGAGAGATTGTGTAAAATATCCAAATTTCAGTCTTGAAGCATTCTTAAGTGTGCCACATCTTGCTTTGATAAACATCTTTTGCAGCCATCCTTTTCCACATGGCAGTGCTTGCTAAAAATAATCATAGCAGACTCCAAGTGCTGCTTGTCACTGCTAAATCTCAGCAGAGCCCTCAAGCCTGTAGCCTGGAGTTGAACTAAGCTGTTAACAAGCTGTTAACAACCTCACCAGCAGACATGGGAAATTTGTAGTTTTACTTGTTTACTGTACTATAAACAGTTCAGGTACTTCATTGAATATTTCAATATTTTTTAATTTGAGGGTCCCGCTCTTCAAAGCAGACATCCAGCTGTTCTCTCCACCAGCGTTTATTAAACACATGCAGACATGTTACTTTGAAGGGAAGGGTTTTTATATGCAAAATAGGTGCACAAATTAGGTGCTTTTAAACTTCAATCATCACATCTTTAAAGAGAAATCCAGCCAATAAAGAATGCACTGTCCCTGTGATCTCAGACAGTTAAGTAAATATTTGTCAGCATGAACAAATCTGTCCTGCTGCTAGAAAACCAAAGCAGTTCATTTTTTTTTATGTCACCTGAGAGAAATAAGTGCAGTCGCTTTATTAGCAATGCGAGCAAGGTTGTATCTTTAACCTGTGGAGACTTAAAAATGCTCCTTGCCTGTTGAATATGAGACCATTATAATACACGTACCTCATTACTTGTAAAAAAAAAAAAAAAAAAAAAAAAATTTCTAGCTTTTGGCTCATTGGGTTGTATAAGAAGCAGTTTCAGCTGCACACTAATGTCTGGTGGCTGAGAGCAGGAAAAATTAAAGTTAAAGTAATGAACACAAGTGAACAAGTCCTTTTGAATATATTCATCGTGTGCTTCCTTTCTTCTGAAATGATGGATTACGCCCCTCAGGCAAGCAGCGTGCCAGCAACTCTTTTTTGTTGCTGCCGGAAATACAATGGAGAAACTGGCATCTGGAAATGGTAGAGCTGTGAAATGTAAATCTGTATGTGAGCGTCACCCGCTCTTTGTTCTGATTGAACAAATGGTCGTCGGCGGTGAGCCAAGAGCGATTTCTCCCACCGACAGAGAGGAATAATTACACCAAACATTTTATTCTTTTTCTACCTTCAGGCGTTCATTTTTGACACTGGTATTAACACCGTTTACCTTAATGTCACCTTTAGCGTGCCTGTAGCTATGCAGCACGCTAATAATTACCATTCCCTCATTGAGACGAGTCGCTAGAATTAGCCGACAATTAGCTTCTGCGCACTGAAAAGGCTCCACAGTGTGACCCAATAAATGAAGACAAATCTGAAACATTAAGAAATTGATTGTGTACAGTGTTGTATTGAGAGGTTGAAAGTTGTCTAAAAAGCTCTAATTTTTCAAATACAAAAGCAACATCATGAGCTGAAAATAAAAGAACAGGCTTTCCAGCCTTTTAAGTGCTAGTTTTTCAGAAACTTAATCAAAGGTATTCATTGAGATAATGGAGGGAAAACTATTGTTAGCATGTCTACAAAGAGATCGAGGGATGTTGCGTGTTACTTCCACCCCCCCCTCTCCCCACAGTGCTCACCATGTCAGTGCCGAGGTCGATGCAGAGGATGGTCACTGTTCCCAGAGGGAGAGGAACACTAGCAATGATGAAGAGGAGGAAGGGCGAGATCTCTGGGATGTTACTGGTCAGTGTGTATGCAATGGACTTCTTCAAGTTGTCAAAGATGAGACGACCTGCAGCGATGGAAAAGACATGAAGTGAATACTTCAAAGTAGAGCTGGGAGAGACGTTTATATTGATATATTATTAATACTGAGATATGTGAGTAGATTTGGGATGGGATACTGGTTACTACACTGTGGTATAGTTGGAATATTGTCTTTTCCTTTCGTTTAATGTTTCCATTTTCCTCACTAAAATAAAAAATGACTATCGCTGCTCTGTCAGCACATCTACGTTACTCGTGGATTTTCTCAGATCATATTAGCCACCCTTAATTTAGATTAAATTGTGGAAACACTCAAGTCAAGTCCTTGAGAGCAAAGCCATGTTAATTCACACAAATCTTAAAAAGCTAAATGCAAGTCTTTCAGGTCTCTGAATGCTGGCCATTAAAATGATGTGAAATTCTGACACTATTTGAAAAACGTTTTTTTGTGCACAACTGAGACTGAGTTCTTTTAATATATAGGCATAAGAATAAAATGTGTAAGGCCTGCTTAGTGCTGTCTTATTCCTTTATTATTGTCCTGGGTTTTTACAGTTCAAAACATGAGAGTTGAATGTTTTTTCCCTTCAGGTCTCAAGTTAGTTCAAGTCTTTGGGAAATCAAGTCTCAAGTAAGTGAAAACCCAATTTAAAAATGTCCTAATTTTGACTCTAAAGTTTCAGGTTTCATTTCTGTTGAATAATGTGTGAAATCAGCCACAATCATATTCGTGTCACATTTTCAATTTTTAGGTATATATTCAAAAATGATCTCCGGTCTCTGTTACTGCATGAAAAAGGAGCTCGCTGGCAGAGTTTTCTTAATTTTTAAGTCTTTAAATCTTCTGTCCCTTTGTTTCTCTGACTCACTTTTTTCTCCCTTTTCTCTCTATCTTGGCTTCCTCTCTCCTCATCATTTCCTTGTTTTATTCTTCCATTCTGTCGCCCTGTCTTTCTCTCTTTCTTTCTGCCCTTCCCCCCCCACACTCACCCTCCTCCACTCCGGTGACGATGGAGGCAAAGTTGTCGTCCAGCAGGATCATGTCAGCTGCCTGCTTGGACACATCAGAGCCGGCGATCCCCATGGCAACGCCGATGTCGGCTTTCTTCAAGGCTGGAGAATCGTTCACACCGTCGCCCGTCACAGCCACGATCGCCCCCTGCACCCACAAGGACCAGTGAATAAAAAGTGTCAAGAAGAGAAAGATAAGTACCATGATTTAAGCTTTTCTCTCTCCACTTCCCTCTCTGCCCCCCCTCCCCTTCTGTCTTAATAATGTCTTTTCAAAGCAGCTCTGGGGAGATTAAATGAAAAATGGAATAGAGTTGTAATCATTCAGTCACACAGAGTGAGAGAGTCAGGGTGAACTGTTGCATGACCTCAATATATGGGGGTGTTCACATAAGAAAAGCTGAGCACACACATTAAGGCATATATAAGGTTTTATATAAGATTTTAATGTATAGTTTGTATCAGATACAGATACACGCTTGTATTTAGCCGTATACTAAGAAATGGGCTGCCATAACATGCACACACATATATAAAACCCTACATTCATCCACTGAACCGCCTGTACTAACAAATAGCTCAAATGCAGAGAAAACTGTATTCAGCTTAAAATGGCAGCGACACACAAACACACACACATTCACACACCTGTATTCAACCATACCTCCACACTTAGACATAACCAGAGGCATTCAAGCATTCATCCAGACTTTATCACAAACACACACATGCTTACATTCATCCATTTAAAAACACACGCATCACTATTCAGCTGTACGCTATCAAAAAAGGCCCAAACAAACACACACATTCACACGCATTCACACACTCCTGTCCATTGACCTGTCTCTGGCAGCCCTCCACAATGATGAGCTTCTGCTGAGGAGAGGTGCGAGCAAACACTATCTCAGTGTGGTTCCTCAGCAGGTCGTCCAGGTACTCAGAGCTCATGTCCTTTAGGTCTGAGCCATGCACCACGCACGCCTTGGCATCCCTGGGAAACACACAAATAAACACACACACACAGACACAGTAAGGAGCCAGTGATACCGGGGACAATTATGCAAAGGAGGTTATTGACATTTTCTTGTTTTCTCTTCAAGTTTGTCTCTCTGTTTCTTTCTCACACACAAACAAACAAACACACACATCCATCATCATCATCAACATCATCATGCATCATGCAGCGCACACTTTTCCATGCACTCTGTCTTACAGGAATAGTTTGACATTTTAGGAAATTTATTTTTTACATTTTTTTTGCAGAGAGCAGGATGAGAAGATCAATACCACCCACATGTCTATCTGCTCAAAATGAACTGAAGCCAGTGGCTGGATAGTTGAGCTTAGCATAGTTTAGCATAAAGATTAAAAACTGTCCACAAGTGAGAAACTCCACCTACCAGCACCTCGAAACCTCCGAAAATTAAGGAGTTATATCTTGATTTGTTTTAATTCTTACAAAAAAACAAAGTGTAACAACGATAATTTGAGGTGTTATGGGGGTTTTGTGACAACAAAACAACTCGGTTACTTCAGTCAGTAAACTCACGTGTAGTACACTGTGCACACAGTATACTCACTGACGTAGTGCGTGAATTTCAACAGGATAGTGTTGTCCCAAATCTAACACTGCTGCTGTGTACTCCACGGAAATGATGTGTGACACCAATTGTCTGCTTTGCTCACCTAACTAGAAAATGAAGGTTTTGCTCTCGCGTGTCTGCCTCCTGCATCATGCGACATGGAAATTGACACAGACGACGTGTCCTCCTTCCTCTGCCGCTGTTTTCGCAAGTTTGAAAATACATTGGTGGACCCTGCCTTTCCGCCATGTAGCAAAGATGGCTACCGTCGAGGGGGTGAGAGGTGTCCATTGTTTTACCAGGTACTTGTAGTGAAGTACTCATATTGAGACATAGCATCTGCTTGGTCTTAAGCATAGTTCCCGAAATGTGTTTAAAAAACTGTTTCTTAAATTGACACACAACCTTACATGCACCCACATCCAGTGGACACGGCGTGCCTCACATACTCGCAGTTGCACAAAACCTTTAGCACAAAGCCTGACACACACACACACACACACACACACACACACACACACACATACCTGGGGTTAACTTGGCTTAGAGGGATGTTCAGCCTCTCAGCGATGTCTTCCACAGTCTCGTTGCCCTCAGAGATGATGCCCACACCTTTAGCGATGGCCTTGGCTGTGATTGGGTGATCCCCGGTTACCATGATCACCTGACCAGACAAACAGAAGGTCCCATAAATCATAGGCCATTATCACATTAAACCCCACTATATCTCACCTGTATGTCATGTGTCACAGCTTGCTTGAGCTACAGTGCAGTATGGAGCTTTAGGGTCTATAAGTCAGAACAAATGTGTTGTGTAGTTACAGTGGAAAAGAATGGTGCTATTAGGGGTTAGCAGTTCATCTCCAGAGATAACAGTGTGGGGTGGTCTCACAGGAAAAATAATGGGCCTGAATCCAAAAACAAAGTAGTGAGTCCATGAAACAGCCGCCCAGAACACCTGCAACAGCTTAACAATGAGTCATATGACTGGTTTCAGGCAGCATATTTCCATTTGCCCTCCACAAAGTTATTCTCGTTTCAACGTTTAGTGATTAGTCTTAGTGTGATTTGCAAGCTGCTTCATGTTCTGAAGGAGCTCTCCTGACATATGTTCGGTTTATTGTATTAATCCAAATACCAGAAACTGACAGAAGCAGACTTTACTAAAAAAAAAAAAAAAAAATTCACTTCTCATTTCATTACATAAGTGACAAAAGAACATAGTGTATAATGGTTTTATTTTCAGTTTCATCAAAATCACTGCGTCTCTGCGTCTGCGATACTTATGAATAGACCAATAACATTTTCTATGTCTGTGGCCAAAGATAAAGGAGTAAACCTTCACTAAAAGTTAAAGCAATATCCAGGGCTTTTGGGTTGGATATGTGAAACATGTACGTGTAATAATGTGACACACAGACAGTAACATGAGGACCATACTTTAGGTTCATAGCAAAACTGTATCCACACAAATCATTTATTTGAAAACCTTTTATGAAAAAGCAAAGCAATAATGAGTCATACACCTTTCTGAAAATCCCCACCACCACCACCACCACCACCCCCACTATAATAATATAGAGCAGGAAAAGGAAAGTGCAATAAAAAAAAATAGAGCACTATATATTGCACTGAAGCCTTTGGACTGATGCCATGGAGCAAGGATGCACTTTGAGCTGAAATGTCTGTACTTCAATCATTAACCTTCCAACCTGAGCTCAGGCTGAATACACTGGATTTGTACAGATGTGTATAGTACATACAAAACTGTATTCTTCCAGCTCAATCAGGCAATATGCCTCAAGTCTCCTATTTCTGACACGGTTCAGCAGTTATATGAAGTGTGTTCACATATATCATCACAGCTACGATATCATCTGCATAAAAGAATATTCGAACAGTCATGTTGACCATCCATCGCCACATTTAACTTGCAGAGAAGCAACAATATATACTATATATATATATACATATATATATATATATATATATATATGTATATATATATACACTTAGCCTTTGTAATGTATAGATGTCAATATTTTGCTTGTCCTCAAATAAACTGATAGTACAGTGATTTAGAGGGGAGTTTATCTATAGCATAGACTGTATATAAAGATGGACATAGCCTTCATGAGGTCACCCATAGGTTTCTGAAGAGCGGTTTTAGAGCTCAGAGTGACCTGCTCTGCCGTCGGCATCTTGCCAGTGCCCGACTCCGCNCATATATATATATACTATATATATACACATATATATTAGCATTAAAATTTTCCCATTTCCCACTTAGCCTTTGTAATGTATAGATGTCAATATTTTGCTTGTCCTCAAATAAACTGATAGTACAGTGATTTAGAGGGGAGTTTATCTATAGCATAGACTGTATATAAAGATGGACATAGCCTTCATGAGGTCACCCATAGGTTTCTGAAGAGCGGTTTTAGAGCTCAGAGTGACCTGCTCTGCCGTCGGCATCTTGCCAGTGCCCGACTCCGCCTAACTCCAGGCTAATCCAAAAACGGGCAAAGAGGAGGGGGAGTTTGTGGCAAACATACACTCACCCACCTGTCACTCAAAGCGCCTACGCCCTCATTTATTCATAACTTTAAGCCCTCATACAATTTTAAGAGGTGAGTTATATAAAAATATCACACATTGTACAGTTGTCATGAAGGAGGAAATTGTGTTGTGTTGTGCTGTAAACACGTTTATTTCTGCTGTAAAGATGGGCATTTTAACATGGGAGTCTATGGGGATCGACTTGCTTTTGGAGCCAGACTCAGGTGGCCATTCAAGGAACTGCGGGTTTTGGCACTGTGTTGGCTTCATTTTTCAGCTGCAGAGGTTGCCGCTTGAACTATACTAAAGGTGCAAGGCTACCTGTGAAACAACATCAATTAAAAGAATAAAGTTTGCTATGACTCCAAACTACAAATGTATTGAGAAAAACAAAAATTTCCATCCCTTCAAATCTTCGTCAGGTCAAAAAAAGACATGGCACGGTTTATAGTTTATCCCATAATGCCTCAGTCAGAAGAGAGCTGATAAAGAAAAACTAAATCTCTTACAAAACTTTGTGATTTCAACAATTTATCAGACATATCATCAGTTTTGTTGCTTTTTTTTGCATAAACTTTTCAACTATTTTCTTCACTTAACCAATTGTAACATCTTGACTCACTTCTGCCTCTAGTTTGTTCTTTAAGCCAATTACAGTGTGTCTTTCAAAAATAATTTTCAAAGGAGGCATGACAGCTACTGTACCTGAAATTAAATGTGCAAAATCCACTTTTCCCATATTTGTAGTAGTTCCCCCTGAAATTAGAACGCTTCATTCTGCTCATTATCCAATTTTATCTCTGCTGGAAGTTGTTTAACCTTCCTGTAGCCCGCCTTATTACTTTTCTGACAAAACATCTGCTCTGCGTGTGTATCTGCAGTTGATTAACATATAATGAATTGACGGAATCTACATTTTACTAAATGAAACCTTTCATAAAGCTGATATTGGAATAGAGGGAGTTCATTCTTTATCACCTGCTTTTCATTTTCACATAAAGAATTAAATTTTTGCTGTTCTTAAAAGTTTGTAATTCCCAAAATTGTTAATTTTCTCATCTGAGAATTAAATTTATTCTTAATATTGAAATCAGATAAGAATACAGGCTTTACACCTTTGTGTGGTCTTATTTTTTAGAGTGTATACATGGAATATGTTATCCTCTAAGCAACACATCTTCACTTATCCATCGATTATCATCCATCAGTGCGCCTTGAAGTGACTGCTTGTCCGTTTTGTGATTTGAAAAGACATTTTACATGCAAATCCCTTCTCTAAAAAGTCCAATAAATTAAGCCTCAGGAAAGGCTTTTCAGGAACTATAAGGTTGAATCTGTGGAACCAATTACCTTGATACCAGCAGAGCGGCATTTGCCCACTGCGTCGGGCACAGCGGCACGGGGCGGATCAATCATGGAGATGAGACCCAGGAAGCAGAGCTGCTCGGTGGGAAAGTTCATGTCGTCGCTGTCGAAGGTGAAACCTCGAGGGAACTGGGATGAAGACAGATTCACGTGGCAGAAGCCTGCAAGAGAAGAGGGATCAGTGAGGTGATCGTTCTTAAGTGACTGAAGAGACGTCTCAAAGTAGACAGCTGCTACTGAAAAAAAAAAACTTGTTGTTTTGTTGTTCTGACATCAAATTTATCTGGCACTTAAAAAGAGGACTATTGTTTATAACCCTGAGGATGATTCAAGTCCACAACATCCAACGTTAAAGATGCTCTAGAGTCTTTTTCTGTTGATATTTAAAGTGACTTTGAAAAAGTATAAATACAAAAAAAGGGTCTGAAGGCGCCTTCAGAAAAATACATTGTCCCCTGGCTGCAATGATCCTTTACTTTACAGTGTGCATACAAATCATTTTTAATTTTAGATGTAGATTTGGAGGTTGCAGGTCTGAAATACAAATTGAATCAGCCACTTTTATTAATTCATGATCCACAGCCCTTTAAAATATGTATCTGCTGAATCCCTATAGAGCATAGCAAAATAAAATGCCGCTGATGAAAAACCAGGCTCGGTAATAAAAGTGGCGGAGCCTCTTGTTGTCATGAAACAGCCGGCCATCATCATCACCCAGGGCATAACTGAGATTTAATAATTTACATGATTTCAGGAGTTTCAATCCCAAAATGGCGCCATTCCACATTTCACTGTGTGAGAAAGTGACACCTCCTCTAACAAAATGATGATAGCACATAATTATTACCTATGGCACTTCTTAAAAAGATGCCAGGTAACTTTTTTTTTTTTTCCCTCAGTTATCAAAATGATGACATTTACAGAGTCTGGATGCTGAACACTTTAGTTGAACTTCAGGTAATGACTTTTTGTCCAAAATGTGTCTATGGCATTTTTAGAGGGGAAAATGTTATTTCATGTACAAATTATTTTAGAGCTCAGTGCAGAGTTTGACCTGAGTGATATTACCAGTACATTACCAGCTAATAATCCAGACGTACTAAATTCACACCACAGAAAACCGGTATCTCTAATACTTTTTGTAACAGTGGTAACTTCAGCTTTGACTCCGTGTCATTCCATTCCAAAATAAGACTGAAAAACCTTCTTCTTAGGATGCACTGTCACAATAAAAGCATTCAACCATGCTAAACTACCCTGTTTATAAAAGGTAAGTGCTGTGTCAAACTGTATCTGCAGACCACCTTCTCCCAAACAAGCTGATGATATTTGGTGGCACCAAACTTACCAAGCACTCTCTCTCCCAGTCCTCCCAGCTCCATGTAGGCATTCTGGAAAGCATCTCTCCAGTTTTCATCAAGTGGATGCTCCTGGCCGTGGATCATAATGGTGCTGCACCTGTACGACATTCATCAATAATGCTTTTACTGCTACTGCAACTACTGCTTATAATACCATCTGCAATATTGTGTTAAAAAACTGCTGCAAAACAACGAACATAAATCAGAGGTAAAAACGGGTAAAGTGGGTAAACTATGAGAAAAAAATAATCTGTGCTTTCAGAAAATTGTTTGTGCTTTTGCATGATTATTTTTAATACAACCAACATCATTTTAATGAATTCACTATAAGTTATAATTTACTCTGCATTAACTGTATATTGAATATTTATAGCGGCCTAAAGGTTAACTCTATTTTGCAACATTGGCTACACAAAGTCCCTGATGAGCCGGGTGAAAAAGGGCACCTCTTCCACAGCAAAGTTGGAGTGTGGTTTGATTTTTGCACACAGAGTTTGCACACAGAGGGGGCACTTGGTGGGACTGTGAATCAACCAGGGGCATTTAATCTCACCAAAAGGTAAACTGGGCTCAGTGCTTGGGCTGACCAGAAATCAGATTAAATGTGTGGCATAGTGTGGAAATGTGGCCAAAATCACAAGAGTGCATGAGTGTTCCCACTCAGGCACAGTAAAATGCTGATTAAAAAAAGAAAGAAAAACTGTAAACTGTATTCTTCAGGTCCTCAACCCCACCCAGTGCAACTAATCAACAAAATTTAAAGGTCCCATATTTGACACTTTGACAGTGTTTTATTTGAAGTGTTGATGCATAAGAAGATATATGTGTGGTTTAAAGAACAAAAAAACATCTCAATGTAGTTTGACGTCTCCTCTCTCAGGCTTCTCTCTGGAGTTCTATAGTAACAACAGGTCAATGAGCCAATCAGAGGAGAGGAGGTTCTGAGCCTCTCTTCTGATTGGCTGACTGTTTTCTGAGTGATCAAATAAAATATAGCAGATTTCAGGTAAACACTCACAGAAACCAAATCCTGCAAGGTTGGATGGTGGGTTTGGGTGGGCCGGGCTTGGTGTGTGGCTGAGAGCAGTGACTGATTTGTTGTGACATCACATAGTTACAGAAATCCTGACGGCTGGTTTTAAGGCTCAGTTTGTGAATACAGGCTGTGTGCATTTCTCTGTGGACTGAGGCTTTGATACTTTCACAGTATGAATATAGAACCTAGACCTGCTTTATAATCGAAGAACAAATTGACATCTCACTTTATACAATATTGGACCATTACAGGATGAAGCTGGTTGTATTCTACATTTTTCTAATTTAAGACCAATCCCATGAAAAGACCAAAGCAAAGTGTTGGTGTGTCTCCCAATACACAGACTTCCTTACTTTTTCTGTGGCCCCAAGCCCATTAAAAGCAGCTTCCAAAACAGCTGGGCTCTGTCATCTTTTAGAAAACATTATTCTTAACAGTGAATTTGTCGGGGACTATTTTTGATTAATACACATTTGGTGCTCTAGTGAGTAACTGTAGTGAGTATTTACAGCAGTGGGACAGTGTATGTGGGATTGAGTTTGTTTATGATGATGAAGGAACATGTCACCCAGAGCAATGGAGCGGCTCACTGATGTGTTTTAATAGTTTTCAGACGACAGTGGCTTCATCACGTTTGAGATATATTGCCAATACTTGTTAGTAGGATCAATTCATTGCTGGTTTGAGTCTTTTCATGGGGTTAACTGACAATTCACTGCACCACATCTGTGGAGCAGACAGCAAAGGTAACGGAAAAATAAATCTGAATTTTCTGCTGCATTTCTTGAGAGACGTAAAATCGATCCATTATTGATTAACCAACCTGTCCAAGATTCTCTCTGGCGCTCCCTTCATGACCAGAATATGACCAGAGGGATTGTCCTCCACTTCATGGATAGAGAGCTGAGAAAAGGGGGGAGGAGGGCAGAAAGATGGGTAAGGACATAACATGACAGGACGCAGTCCAAAACATATTTAGCTACATGTCAGATGCAAGGTGTATTTTCTTGCCTGTTGTTTCTTGCTGGTCTACAACGATTCTGTTTCAGTTAGAAAAAGACTGAAGACAGACACACTCCTTAGTAATACTCGAGAATGAATTTCACGTTCGTGCCAGCAATCATTTTTTTGGGAGTTTCTGTCACATTTTTTCCAAGTAGTATGAAATAAAAGTCTTATTGAAATTGACTTGACTGAGTGCAAACTGTAAGTCATATGTATTCCCTGTGTTGAAGGAGCATTCATTCATGCTCTCACATGTATTCCTGTGGCGTTACACCTTGCATTACCTCTCCCCACCATAAAACACACACTCCCACACACACACAAGCACACACTCCCCCAGGTACTTTGTATCTGAGTCACAGTATATCTAATCTCAGAAAACCAGAGCAAAATTGCCTTTTTTTTTTTTTTTCTTTTTTTTCCCCTCAACACAGACGTTCCTATTTTAAGTCAGGAAACAGGTGCACAAAATGCATGCAGAGAGTCCTTTGTTTGCCTCAACATCACTGCTGTGTTATTCATATGCTGGTTCAAATCTCCAGACGGGCTGAAAAGGCCGGGTGTGGAAAGTGAAGCAAGAACACTCCCCCTTGCTTTAATTGCTGCGATGCCCTTGAGCAAAATGTTCAAGCTCAATGTGATGACTTTTTTATAGTTCAATATTAACTTTTAATTTATTTTTTATTTTTGCCAGTGCTGTTGTTGACTCCTACAAGATGGAACAAAGCATGCAGCTTAACTTAAGACCCTTCAGAAGTGCCTGTTCTGATCTACTGTTTACTGACAAGAGAATTAAAAAAAAAACTTTGTCCTTTGTTTCTAGATCATTTCTTGCTGTGAAATAACCAGAAAATATCTTTGTTTAAAGGGGCTATTTGTAAGTTTTCTCTGCTGCCGAAACATAATTTCTTGCCCAGAGCAGGTGGTGGTGGGCATCGTTGCTCGTTTCCTTCTGAGCAGCGCTAGATTGGCAGATCTGACGTTAGCTATGTAGAGATAGCAAAACTTACAAATAGCTCCTTTAATGCCTAATGTTATCAGAAATGAAGCAGACTGCAGTGGCAAACTCCAAAGCAAAGTCCAGGATTCCACTAATGTGCCACACACATGTCACACTGAGCTTTTTAAAAATTTGATTTCTAATAATAACACATAAAGGCAGGCATCAAAGTGGCAAACAGAGCATCTTCTAAGCAGCCAAAGAGAAACCAGTTTGTAATCCACACGTACACCACCTTTCTGTCATAAAGAAGACATATTGCACAGAGCTTTAACACTGCAACAGTTTCTGTGCTGCCTCTGGTTGTGGTTTGTTGGGCAGCTTCCAGATCCGACTGTGTGCAACCATATGAATGTAAAATAGGGTGTTGCTGTTAAAGAGCATGCATGTTCAGGCTGCCTTCCCTGGATTCAAAAATGTTAAAAATGAATATTCATGACTCACTCAAAGCATGTAAATGCATCTTTTTAAAACATCATAATACTGTCTGTTTAAAGAGGACTGACAGAATTGTCAAAAATAAATACTTTCTATAAATGCAAAATTAACCTAAATTTAAAAAGAACAAGATTTTCTTTTTTTGATTAAGATGGATGAAATTAAAATTTGAACAAACTGAAAGCTGTGGTGTTTAAAAACTACTTAAAAACTGTAATTGTTAAAGACGGTATAAAATGACGCTAATAATAATATGAATGGTCTGCAAATGTGTTGTGTGATTTCACTGTACACAGGCATCAGCAGCAGTTCCAGCACAAAGCTGTGCTGTGACATTAGCCTCGTGCACTACCTGGTACTTGTTGGTGGAGTTAAAGGGGATCTCTGCCACTTTGGGGTTCCTGCCTCTCATGTCACGAACGTTCCCGCAGCACACCTCGATGCATTTCAAGAGAGCTGACTCTGACGCGTCCCCCGCTGTGTCCCTCTGGGGGAAACGCAGACAGACACACATTAGCACAGTCGTTCACACATGCATATTAAGAAATGAGTATCTGTCTCACTGCCTGTGTTTATGGCACCGCTGTGGAGAGAAGCTTTCAGATTATGTGTTACTTAATTTATTGAAACAGTACCTCAGAGAACTTTCTTTACTTCCATTATGGTTCTCATTAATGATGCACGTATCATCTGCATCACCAACACTTGTGATCTGGCCACAGCATTGTTAAACAATGTAATGTAAAACTAATGGAAGTAGTTTTCTTCTTCAGTTCATTTGATTAAAACAGCAAGGTTTTCTTAAAGGCATCTTTTATTGATACGAATGTAAAAGGCCCTGGATACAAAGATCATGTGGGAAATAAATATTGCTGCATGAACACACTAGACTAATGCCAATATGCCAATGGCAATAATCAATAACAAAGTGGTTGCTAAGGTTGTAGCTAACAAGTAAAGTGGTGCTTGTTGTTCTGAGTGGTTCATTTGTTTAGAGGGATGTAGAGAAGTCTCTCACTGACACTGGGTGCTTTTTTTTTAGAAGATAAAAAATTGATCACTGAGTAAACCACGTATAATCTGTGGTTTTAGAAAAATTCACTATACAAAACACATGAAATCAGTTTTTTCAGTGTGTGTATCCATGAATTTAAGCATGTTTACACTGTACTTGCACATGCAAACATCACAGTAATATGCTGGGATGGAGGCCTTTTCTATGAGGCTCAAAATTGGATTATGCCATGTGTGGATGCACATTGCTCCATTTATTTTTATCAGCTAGAACTTATGTGACAAAGTTGCTTGTGTCGTACTTGAATCATTTAGGGGAAAATTCTGTCCAAATAACCTGTAAAATCGTCCTGCCTGAAAAATGTCCACGATGATCACTGCAATTCATCTGGCTCTTGGGGCCAATTTATTAAAATCCATGCAGAACTGATTGACCTGACGCCTAATATACCAAAGGGGGCCAAACGAAGACAAGAGATTTCTCTTGGTTCCTGTTTATTCATTCATGAATAGCTGCGAAACAAGGACGCGCGCTCTGCGAGATTTGTCCTTGTTTGTGCCTTTTCATGAATGAATAAATAGATCAAGGAAATTCCATTTCTCTGTTTTCCCATGTGCAGATGGGGACTTGTTCTTGTAATGGTAGTGGAGCCTGGGCCTTGACTGCTGTGTTTGAGCGCTGTCAGGAGATATGGCTGTTACTTAATGCAAGGAGGAAGTCTGAGGCACCTCGAGGGGCAGAGAGGCTGCAGCAGCAGGGTCTGCTCCCACCAGAGTCAAGAAGATGTAATCCCTGTCGCTGTGAGCCACACAGAGAATTTCTTCAGGTCAATGTAGCACAGGTTGGAAGATAGCGGTTGGTAGAACACTGGGATATTATTGACTTACCCACCCAGCAGTGTGTGTGTTTGTGCATCAGTGTGGGGGAGTTATTTCCAGGGGTGCATTGGATTATCCTCAGTGTGTCTGTGTTTACGTGTGAGAGGGAGGTTAAGCATGTGAGCCAGTGTGTGTGTAAAGCACCTGTGTCAAGAGGTATTGACAAATTATTTTTATGGGTTGTGTTTTTCCCTGTGGGTGCCATGTGGGTTAGGATCAGCTGGCAACAGGAGAGAATACAAAGTACATTTAGTCGTGTGCTGTACCTATAAAAGTTTGGAACATGTGAACTAGCTACTTTATACTTCATGATAGGACCAATGTTTTGTAGTCTATTTAATATTATCAACAAACCACTAAAGAAACTAAAACCTGCAATGAGTTTAACCTTCAGAAAAGTATGCTACTCTAGCTGTGCTCAGTGAAGGAGCCCATACACAAACGTAATTTATGTATATATATTGAATTTCCATATATGAAGTATATGTACATATAAAATAAAAACATATATGTAAAAATTATATATAAAACCTGTTAGAAATTGGAACATAAATATATATCCATCCTGAAGCCTGTGAATATATGTTGACATTGCATACAGTAGGGTCCAAGAGTCTGAGACCATGTTGCCAGAATGGGAAGATACACATGTTTAAAAATAATAAGAAATTAATAAGAAAAACATATGAGCATTAATCAATGTATGTATGTTGCATTAACAAACTTAAAATAAAATATAAATATATATAGGGTTAGGGTTAGGGTTATAAAAATTAAATATGTGTTGTTAACATATAAGATTTCCACATGTTATATCATATAAAAATTGATCATAGATATTTTTAATTTGTGTACATGTACAAGTTTTACTATGGATATTTCATAATGCTATGAACTTATATCTTCATATATCCAGAGGATGTGCATATGTGATAATCATATATGAAATATATGGCGACGTCACTCTTTATGTAGGGATATGTCATATATTACATGTATGGGAGTGTATTTTTAGATGTTTTAATTGACAAAAATTTTGCATTTAGCATTAACCTCTAAGTATAAATTTGGTTAATATTTTCCTTGTAATTGAATATTTTTACATTGTTGCATTGCTGCCGTTACATACAGCGAGTAAAGAAGCTGAATACTTCCTCCACCACTGCTTCTTTTTGAGTGACAGCTCACCTAGCACTCTCCTGATGCTGTTAGCTTCACCCTACTGGCAAACCATGCAGGCAAAATCATGTCTCATGAATAATGTGCATGCATTATTTGATCCAAATCTAAAAAGACTTGCTCATAATGTCCTTGGATTAAACTGAACCTATTATACCCCCACTGCATTAGAGCGGTGAGATAATTCATGAGACTCAAATATCAATGCAAAGGTTTTGGAAAGTTGCTGTTGTGTTGTCAAGTCTGTGGTGGAGGTTCATACCATCTGGACAGGAAACTGCTCCTGTCCGGCTTTGAAATCAGCTCTGTTGCACAGGCCGGCCACACGAGACAGAGCCGCCCAAGTAGCAGAGGTCTTGTCAAAGCCTGAACCTGAGAGAATAGCAGAGGAAGCGGTGTTAGACTTTTTTTTTTCTTTTCTTTTTTAAATAGGGCTCATGCAGTATTTATGCTACTGACTTAACTCTCGGTTCACAGAGTAGCGCTGGATATTGTAGCTAAATAACAGGGTCAGTGAGTCGGGGTCAGTTAAGTCGAGCGATCACTTTTTCCTTGACAAAAGTGATTTTTCAATTCCCCAGCCTGGAAAATGGCATTCATTTTTAACTAGAGTGTCTCAAAAAAAAAAATGTTGGAAATTTCTCTTATCAAAATTTCATCCCTCACCCACCCAATCGAACTAAAAATGACCTTCACTTCGCTGCTGGCACCTGCATTCATTTTTCATCTAAGCGCAGACTCTCTAGAGTGGTCACTGTCACCGTTATTGCGAAAACAGAATGTGATAAGTGTCATGCAACATACAGTACACCGTGGCAAACTGCGGCTGGAGTTGCTGAATTTGACAAAGCGAGGTGCAAAAAGGCTCAGAAACCTGCAAAAGCTACAAAAATACAGTAGCCTGTACTGCTGAAAAATGAATATACTGAGTTTTTTCTTGCGCACTATGTCAGCTGTGTGGCCTCCCTCAGCACTGCTGGCTGTTTGTTGAATAACTGCACAATCTGACTCTGACTCTGTACTCATTGGTATGCACCGAACACCTGTTTTTTTTTTTGTTTTTTTTTTTTGGAACTTTTGGTTATTGCTGAAAGCTTCTTTGAAATTTGGCTCGATTTGTTGTCATTTGGTGGGAGACAGGAATCCGATTGGTTCCACAGCAGCAGTCTTACTGAAGAACTCTGGGAAAAGACATGTTTGTAGCTGACGGTTGTGCCGCCCACTGCATACCGCAGCTCAGTTAATCCTAGCACTAGCACGAACAGCAATGGCGGTTGGCGGCGTGAACATTGGACAGATGAATTTCGGCAGGTGGTCACACCCCCCTCTGTATTCCCACACACTCTATTTCCCCTTTTATATCTCTCAGTCTCTCTGTCTTTTCTCCAATCTCTCCTCTTCCACCTTTTCCTTCCTCCTTGTTTTCTTTTCATCTCTCCCTCCCTCTCTCTGTCTGTCTTACCACTCTGGTCCTCAGTGGTGTCCGCCTCGTGGATCTGGTTGTCGAACCACATGTGGGCCACGGTCATGCGGTTCTGGGTCAGCGTGCCCGTCTTGTCAGAGCAGATGGTGGAGGTGGAGCCGAGAGTCTCTACGGCCTCCAGGTTCTTCACCAGACAATTCTTCTTAGCCATTCGCTTGGCAGTGAGAGTCAGACACACCTGGGAGGACGGCGGGAGGTGAGGAGGGGGAGAAAGAGATTGGTGGGAGGGGAAGAGGATGAGGGAGGGAGGAGAAGGAGAGGATGGATGATTGTTAGTCAACAAGGGGAGAGAGCATGTGTACGCACTGGTGCATTCAAGTGTTTGTGCATGTGAAACCATGCGTGGTCCAGGTGCCTTACGGCGAATGTGTGTGTGTGATGGAGTGTGTGTATGTGTGTACCTGGTCGGCTGGTTAACAGCAGGTGTGCAGGGACATAAGAGCATGATGCATAGACACATTCCATATGTTGTAAGAGACACATTAACATACATTAATTCAATCAGACCACATTACTCACAGAAACATTTCCACACACAACTAACGGTGTGTTTAAAGCAAGAGCAACTGAAGAAACCAGTCAGTGGAAGTCAATTTATTTTCTGTGACCAGTGAAATGTCGACTGATGGCATTTCAAATGCCAGCTGGCATCCACCTCAGCTCGCACTTTGTTTATTGTTGCAGAAAAAGTTAGATGCACTTCAGCATTTGAGCAACTCCGACATCCAGTAATAAATCACCTGCTTTGCTGTGTTGTGTAGCATCAGCAGAGCTACAGCTAATCTTCATGAGGCTGATGCACAGGTGTAACTAATAACATTGATAATGGCTCTGTTCCATTCATATGTGCCAGTGAGTCATGACAGTCAGGCCAGGAGGCAAAATATTAATAATAGGGTTCTGGAGCCGGCAAGTTCAAAGCTGCACTAATCAATATCTTTAACAATAGATCAAATGGCTATGTGTAATGTGAAAGCAGCTGCTCGAGATGAAAAATCCTTGGAAAATCAACACCCAACTCTGCAGTTTCCCTCAGTTCTACAGAGTTTTTAAGCCTTCTTTAGCTCAATATCTTGGTTTTCAGGCTAAATCCAGTCTCATCAAACATGTTTCTATCAGCCTCAGGCAGCTGGTTCCAGTAAGCAAGGTCATTAACCTGCTGTATGTGCAGCTCCTAACAACAGACAGTGAAAATTGGCAGATATTCCCCTCAGGACTTGGTGGAAAGCAACAAAGAGGGAAAAGGGAGAACGAACACTTATTTGTTGTGTGATCACTCCAAACTCCAAATAATTCATAATATATAGAATGAAAATAAATAATAAATAATGTTCCTCCATAATGTGCAAACAGGCAATCTGCTTGCTAATATGCTCGCCATAACTTTACAGAGGCCTGTGCCTCCCAGTGGCCAAGAAGTCAATCACTGCAGCCTTAGATAAGATTGCAGCCATTAATAATGTTATGAGTCACACCTCTGTTTAATATGACCACCATCTGAAATCTATATTCAATACACATGCTAACCATACTGTATAAATGCAACCAAAACATTCCAAGCTGATAATTTTCCACAAAAACAAATCAGTCCATACCCACACACAACAGTCCTCCCACCAATCATCTCCATCTTTACACCACTCATGACTATGACCAGTGTTTGTTTATTTTCAGTGTCAAAATAAAAATGTAATTTAAAAAAAGAGCAGATTATGAAAATAAAATAATTAAAATTACCATTTGCAACACAAAGACTGTTTTAACCTCTGTGTTTGTTTGTGTAGAGCAGCCAGTTTATGACCTTTCCCCACGGCGCTGTACACTTTCTATTTCCAGAAGCATATTATGACCTGTCCTTGCTACAAGGGGAACTTGTTTATTGCAAACTGAAGTGCACATTGTTTTTCTTGCAGCAGAAATAAGAACTGTGTGCACAGGGACATTAAATCCTATTTTAAATGGTTTAAACTGATCTGCTCCTTTTAAAAAACACAAAGATATTTTTTAGTGAAAATCAATACAAACTTCAAACCGACACCCAGACACCCACACACACACACACACACACACACACACACACACACACTACTCACAGTGACGGTAGCCAGCAGTCCCTCAGGTACGTTTGCCACGATGATGCCGATGAGGAAGATGACAGCCTCGAGCCAGGTGTAGCCCAGGATGAGTGACAGGATGAAAAAGCTCACGCCCAGGAAGACTGCCACGCCTGTGATGATGTGGATGAAGTGTTCGATCTCGATGTTGATGGGCGTCTGGCGGACCTCCAGCTCAGAGGCCAGGGTGGCGATGCGCCCCATCACCGTTCGATCACCGGTGGCTATCACGATGCCGTGGGCCGTACCTGGGAGGGAGGGGTTGACTCACTGTTATGCACTCTGGACAAAAGAAACATCACTTCAACATACTATTTGAAAAAATGTTTGCAGTGAGAAGGCATCAAAAATGCAGCGACTACTTTCTCAGTAGAAAGCAGTTCCACTGAAAACAAGATCTGTGGATTAACCAGAGCAACAAGGACACTGTGTCTGGGAAAAAAAAGATATTGCCACTGACTTTTTTAAGTTATTCAGCTCCACTGCAATGGGGTGGAAGCAGATATCTCAGAGGCATACATTTCAAATCCCGGACACACAAACCCAAAACTATCTGCACGGCTAGACACCAGAGGAGAGTGAGAAAATACGATGAGGTTTTTTCTTTTGTAATTTGGGTCAAATGATCCTTTAACACAACCTAGACAGATGAAGCAAAACTGAGTAATAGACTGTAAGACAGGAGACTAAACATAGCTCTGTATCATATAGTTTTCATGACTGATTCTGAAATTCAGCTTGTGAAAAATTTCGAACATGACTGATATAAAATTTTGATAGTATGTTTTTCAATCCTTATCCTCAGCTTTTAAGTCGTCATGAACAAGAAGTCCATTAAGTGCTCAGAAAAAATGAAAATTTTCATGTTTACAGCTCCATGACTGTTTCCAAGGTTTAAATGGACTTTAAACTTCAACTAAATCCTGGGTTGACAAATGATGGGATTCACAGGCTGCAGTTTCCATCTATTAAAATTTTTATTATCTACTTCTTTTTCCAAACTCTACTTTGGAGTCCAACTGTTCACTTTCTATACACAACCACCATTAGAATTCAGATGAAGATATTTATGAAGTTGCAGATTCTAATATGAATAGCCCATTGAAATGCTCAGGGCATCGCAACTTGATGATTGATAGCAACTGAAATGCCAACTAAAAATTCCCATCGGGTGAATCTGAAAAATGGAAACACTCAATAAAACTCTTTATGCATTCAAATTTCAATAACTGCACACTGTACTGTAGGATGCAGGGGTGGAGCTTCTGATCAATCATGCACTGAAACGCACTCATGGTTTGCTGGCACAGCAAAATGATGTTTATCTCCAGATGGCTTTAAAAAAAAAAAAAAGAAGATATTTAGAGACGGTAAGAGACAATGTTGGCCAGATGTGGCCTACTGACCCTCGACACAGTTGGTGGAAAAGAAACAGATGTTGCGGGTCTCTAGGGGGTTGTCGTGTGTGAACTCCGGGGAGCGAGTCTGGGGCTCTGATTCTCCCGTCAGAGAGGAGTTGTCCACCTTCGCAAGGAGAGGGAGAGAGCAGGAGAGAGCAGTGTTACCCAGTGAGACTGAGGGACAGAAACAGGAGAGAGCGAGGAGGTGAAACTGACAGGGTGGGAATGAAAGAGGCAGCACTTATTGGCAACAAGTGCGGTGATGTAACACTCTTGTCACGTCACAACCCTGTTCCTCGATAGGTGACGAAATTTATGCCACCGATCACTATGGACTCATTACACTGCTTCAAAACCCGGGATAAACTCAACAATGAACAGTGGTCAAGCCACAAAGGTGATATTTTGGACAAATGTTCAATGTCTAAGAGGAAGAAGCATGTTTACCTCGTAACAAACTACCACTAACTTGTGAATATGGAAAGAATTTTACTTGAACTTAACTTCAGTTTTTCATCGAACCCCCAAAATCTAAAAACAGACAACTAGCCACTCAAAAATCATGTTGTGTGATCGTGTGATGGCTTGGAGACAAACCACCACCCTGACCACCATAATCCATGCTGCACAAAACAAAAACTTTTCCGGGTTATGTAAGAGAATTACGTCATAAGATGATTACTGATTTGTAATGTGTTTATATTGGACTAAAATATTGCTTGTAGCTAGAAAAAAAAGTTAAAAAAAAAAAACTACAGACAGAAGTTGGTATAAGATTGATCCTCAGAAAAGACCAATGACTTAATGTCATTATGGAATTTTACATACCTGACCGTCCTTTAGAGTAAAAGAAATTGAGAAGAAAAATGATTTAAATAATCAAGATACCAAAAAGTAACCTGATCAAATATGATATGGAACAACCGCACATGAGAGAGTATATACATGTGATTACCTTACGACAAGAGCAGTATTTAATGTTGTTTTAGTAGCAAGGCTCAAGGGGAAGTCAGTATGAACCGGTCGGCCTATTGGTTGCTCCAAACTGAAATATCTTGACAAATATTTGCCATGAAATATTCAAGGTTCCCTGACTTTTCTTCTGGCGCCACCAATAACTCAAAGTTTTCAATAATCCAGTGAAATACCTCCACATCTACAAGACGGATCTGCACAAAGTTTTGTTTGATATTGATGTTCCCATAAATCCCAAAATATGACATTGGTGATTCCCTGACTTTTTCTGTAGCGCAGCTGGCAGACGTTTATGGCTAATGTCTTGACAACCTTTAGACGAATTACCATGAAATCTGCTACAAACCTTCATTTCCCCCTCAGGATGATTTCTAATAACTTCGGTGATTCCCTGACTTTTCATCGTGCCAAATTTTCAATGAATACCTGCAAAACTGATGGCATTCCCATCAGCCTATTTAGTTTTAGGGATAATTAGCAAATACCAACTTAAGATGGTAAACAACAGTCAAGAAGAAAGAAAGAAAGAAAGAAAAAGAAAAGAAAGTAAATTAGCTGGACCAAAGTTAGCAGGGCTACTGTAATCCCATTGAGACCACCAGGCTCCCCAGGGCTGAGCCCAGCACCCCTCCCCTACCTTGCATCCGCTGGAGGAGACCACTCGAAGGTCAGCTGGGATGCGGTCTCCCCCTTTGATCTCCACCAGATCTCCCTGCACCACAAGCTCAGCATTGATCTGCATCTTCTCCCCCTCCCGGATCACCATCGCTTGCTGGCATGGAGAAAAACGAAGTGAGAGACGAGAAGGGAGAGGGAATGTGAGGAAGAGAGAGAGTGAGAGAGAGAGAGAGAGAGAGAGAGCGAGAGAGAGAGAGTTTAAGAACAGACAGCAGGTTTAGTCAGAGGAAGAGTGAGGATAGACATTAAAAAAAGAGGAGCCAGAGGGTGCAGAGGTATGTGAAAGGCAGAGTTAGAGAGAGCACAAGGAAGAAGAGAGAGAAAAGACAGGTAGGGAAGAGGAGGCACAAGAAAGGAGTGAAAGGAGCCTAAATAGATTAAAGAATTAGGCAATCGAAGTGCTAGAGGTGGATAACGCGAGGGGAGTTTTTATGCAAACACACTCACAATCCGAAGTTGGCTCAAACATTTATTCTTCCTTTGTGCAAGCTTATTAGGTTTCCACTCAAGTGAGTGTTTAAGCCCTACTTGAGGGATGGCTTATTGATTCTGAAAGCTCTGCGACTACACCAAACACCACACGCATCAACTTACCTGAGGCACCATTTTCTTGAAGGAGTCCATGATTCGGGAGCTCTTGGCCTCTTGGAAGTAGGAGAAACAACCGGTGATGATCACCACGGCTGCCAGTACCACACCGAGATACAACTGAAATAAGGGGAAAAGCCGAGGCCACAGGGGGAAGACAATGTCATTACTGACTTGGTTTGGTTCATGTAAGGCATGTTAAAGCGAAGCAAATGGGGATTTACAAGCTTCACATTGGTTTTAAAACAGTAACACCTTCAATGCAGAGTGCAAGAGAAGAGTTAAGAGCAAGAAAAACGGGAGAGCGCTCAGTCTTGGTGGGAGATTTAGAAGGGAAATCCATCCCACAGCTGAGGTCTTGTCATCTTGGACAGTTCATTCAATGTTTGTACAAGTGAACACATCTGTCTACCGAACCCAGAAAACCGAGAACTGACTTTGATCTGCGAAGAGACTCGTGGTTATGTGAAAGCGCTGAGTGCATATTCTGGAACATTTTTATTGTATTTTTTGGGGACTATTTTCTGTCGTACGGATGAAAAAGCTGCTATGGGTTCAACTCTCACTGATGCAAACAAGACAGCGAGGCACTTCAGATAAGAGCATCTGCCAGAGCATGGTGCACGGTACGTCCTGGACTCCTGGAGAATACAATTCCTAAATCCTGAGAAGTTTGCTTTTTGGAAGGTGCTGCTTTCACTTGACAGCAACAACTGCACAGCTGTTTTGCTATTTTACACTTGAATGACTTTTTTTTTTTTTTTTTTTTTTTTTTTACCATAGCGGTGCAAAATCTTCTGAACCAGGAAATACATTTGTATCCCCAGAAAATCACTTGTCAGTGTTTACAACATTTGCCTCCATTTCAGCATTCTGTTTCCTGCTCCCTGCCTTGTCTCCATGTGGTGTTTTCAGATTTAAACCGTAGTTCTTCTCGCTTCAGGAGATGCTTGTTCTTGTTCACCAATTGTACAGAATTATAGGCGCATCAACTGTCCAGCCAGGTGACTCATTTGAATCTACCAGAGTTAAAAGGACTGCGTGTGATTTCAGCTGTTTCGGGGATGCTCAAATATTTCCTCAAACCAAGGAAGACAATCTTTTAGTTCAATAAATACATCAGAATATTGAAAATTAAGACACCAACAATGTGTGAAGTCCTGTTAGGGTGGATTTTCATCTCAAATAACTGCTTGTACATTATGCAAAGGCTCAAAGTGCCAAAGCTGCCGGCAGTCGGCACTTTGAAGTGGCTCACCAGAGCATCCAGCTGTACATACTCAGTACTGAATGCAGAGATTAAATCATGGGGAGATTAAAGCTATCACGTGTGTGCATGTGTGTGTAACTATCTACTGTATGTTACTGTATATTATGCAAGGGTTTAATGCTGTCTGGGGTTTGGAGAGCGCTGCATGATGATTGCATAATGACTCAGCTCCATAAAGTGCAGTATGGATGACTGCTTGGCTCCATTTGCTCAGCGGTTGGTCTGAGTAGTTATCTGTGCAAATGCCAGGACCGATGCCAGTGTCAGCGGTTGTTTTTACCTCACACCCTCTGAATGGGAGGGGGGAAGGGATGCTGTGTCATTATGTACTTGTAATTCTACACTTATGAAGATGAAATCCCGGCGTGTTTAAATGCATTTTAACGATATTTTGATGTTCCTAAGTTCTCCTTGTCCCTCTTCTTTCTTGAAGCTATTTCCTTTAGTGAGTGTTGGCGCTGCGTCGGGGTCATGTGACATAATTGTGATGTCATTTGGCTCAGACTTTCGGAAAGGAGATTTAGACCTCAGGAGGCCACCGTGGTTAAGTAAAGGTCATACAGAGAAATCTGCCCACAAGAAAACGGAAGGTAAAGAAAATCCACCATAATTAAATGTTTGGACACTTCTGGTCTCTGGTTTTAGGTTCAGACTAGATTAGTGTGTGCATGTGATGATAAGTGTGTCTGTAAAACGTGCGTATACAGTATATTTGATTTCTCGATCTTCACTGGAACAATGATATCGTGTTTTTTGACAGATGGTGTGATCACATTTTGACAATATTCTGTCGTCCAAATGAATGATTCCACACCGATTTTAATTAAGAAATGAGCCGTTTAAGATATTTCAGCCAGTGCCAACACAGCCAATGCCAAAATTACACAGGCTGCAGTATACACCATAATGGAGAGGTTCAGCTGGGCTTAAATTCTCCTCAATATATTAGATATAATTCAGAAATTCATGCATGTGCACACGTGTCCAGGAAAAAACAGATTTTGGGGAGAAGAGGATGAAGAGTTTTCACCTGTTCACTGCATATAAGGTGGACAGGTAATAAATAACCATAAAGCAAAACCCACTGGAAGATTTTTATATATGACAAGACCAATTATTACATTTTGGATTTCTACAGATGCTCGCTCAGTGGAAGATTAGTTTAAGGAGCTGTTGAGGCTTTTGCAGAAAATTGACCTGCAGGTTACGTGACAATGTCCTTCTGCCTAACAAGCAGTCGTGGGACCGACAATGGCTGAATTCAGTAACTTAAATCAGTCACCTGATTCAGAACCTCAATAAAAAGATGGAGTTTGGCATGTGATGTTTTGAGTTTTATCAGATGTGATGCAGGATGATTATATATACTATACTTTTATATAAATGAACTGAATTGTAATGTCAACATCGATGCTGGATAATGTTGATCCAGACCAAAGATAGAAAGGTAAATCAATTTCTTATCAGTTTATGTGCAGTATGTGTGTCTGAACAGTGTGTTTAAACCATACACCCTGGCTATAAACAGAGATGCAGTACATTATCCGTTTGTGTCTGTACCCCTTTACACATCTCTACTGTATTATCAGTGTAACTGTCTTCGTATACCTGCGTCTCCTCCTGTGTGTGATTAATATGTAAGCTGCGTGCCTGCACATACGCATGCCTATTCTCTTTTTTCACAAGCAGTTTCTCACGTTGTCATTGGGCGGCTCGTCCTCCATGGCCACCTGGATGCTGTAGGCCAGGAAGCAGAGGATGGCACCGATCCAGAGCAGGATGGAGAAGCCGCCGAACAGCTGACGGCAGAACTTGACCCACTCGGGGGTGGTGGGGGGAGGAGTCAGGGCGTTTGGACCGTCCCTGGCCAGAATCTCGACAGCTCTGGTGTTGGTCAGGCCCTGGAGGAGAGCAACATTTTAGTAAGTGAATGTCTCTGAGTCTGAGCTGGGAATCTTATTACAGCACAACAGCCCCATTTTCACTGTGGCTTAAAAAGCATTTTACTACTACAGTTGCAGAACATCAAGTATTCCTGCTTGGCCTATTTAACACCACACGTATAATGAACTGGGTGCCTCCTCTCATCTGAAGTGCTTGGTCGTAAAAGTGTTGCAACTTTATTAATTTACTAATAATCTATGAATATACCACACATACTAAGCTGTTTGACATTTTTACAGCTTGAAAGATAACATCAGTTTCACCACACCTGCGATGTCAAACTTAAGGGAAGCAGCAGATGTGGTCACAGCGTAAAGACTTCTGTGATGAATATCTATCTGCCTGCGTATGGGATTGCAGGAGTTGGTGCGTCAAAGTGTGTATGTTTGTGTTTGTGTGTGTGTGTGTGTGTGTGTGTGTGTGTGTGTGTGTGTGTGTGTGTGTGTGTGATTGAGGGATTAAAGATGAAGAAGGCTCAAGGTTAGCTGGATGTTGCTTTCCAGTACAGGCAGGCAGAGATTGGATCTCTATAGGAGATATTCCAGCTCCTCTTTGTTGTGTGTTTGTGTGAAAGTGCACTTGTGTAAATGAGTGTGTGTGTGTACGTGTGTGTGTGTGTATGTTTGTGTGTCCTTACCCGTGTGAGGTCCACTCCATAGCGTTTTCCCAAATCATCCAGAGCTATTTTGTGGTCATCCTGTGGGGGTTAAAAATGTTAATTTTTTTAATATTTGTGCTTCAGTGGAACAGAAACAGTAATGAAGGTGTAGCACTGATGTGTTACATCCCTCCATCTTAGTGCAAAAATACTTTTTTCCCTCTATTTGACATGGATTAATAAATATACAGTACGCTTCATGATAGATCGAAGGGGTCAAAGAGTGAAGGGCACTCCCCCTGCATCTCCAAGTAGCGCTGAAATAGAGGTGTTTTCTCCAGTAGTAAAAAGTGTGACGCAAAAAAACTTGTTGACGTATATGTTGTGTTTAATCATGCATTCTTAAATTTATACTCCTGTGTATGACTGGCCGAAAGCCACCTCAAGATGCTGTTTTTAGATCTTAAAATGGAGTTTGGTGCTAAAACAACAACAAATTTCAGCTATCAGCTGCTAAGATTGTGTCGTCTCGCAGAATGAAGGGCTGCCTCCTTCATTCAATAATGAGACAGGAAGAAATCCCTCAATTTCTTCACCTGCTAGTACAGTAGCCCCCAGTGGACTACAATAATGAATTGTAGCTCCAAGTAATTCGGCCACAAGAAACGACACGCCCCAGTGTTCACAAAACAGTTTGCTAGTTAAGCTTTGTTCATATGCCCCCACACCAAATATTGATCAGCCATTGTCTGGTGCTTGTTTAAAGGATTTCTGGGAGGAGAAAAGAAAGAAGAAAATCACCGACAGAGGAAGTAGTTCATGAGGCAGACTGATCGCTTAATCACAAAACTGCTCTAAAATGTTGACAGTATCCAAGGAATTCTTTCTCTTTAATCAGTCACAGGCCAACTTCATAATTGACAAGAGCTGCTTTAGCAGATCAGAGGTAGTGCGAGCAGCATAAACTTACCCCAGTTTTCATGGGCATCGCTTGGCTGCGTTTTGACAGCACCTCAAAGAGCTACAGCTCTGCACAAGACAAAAACTCTGCACTACACTGCTGGTGGCCCACAAATTATTCAGTATCTTTCTCCGTACAAAGAAGAGCAGTCAGAGGGTGGTAGAACAGATAGGAGAGGACAGGCAGGCTTGGAACTCATCTACAACTGACTACACTAAGCAGGTTGGATTGCCATTTTGTTTATGGGCCACCGTTTTCATTTATAGCCTTGTTAAATAACCCGGTGTCTTTGGCGTAACACGATTTGGGGATCGTTCGGGTGCAGCAGCAATGGAATCAATCACTGTGCAGTGTGAGTGTGAGTTGGTGCAGTGGCAGCTTGTTTTTCTTACCAAGGCCACCTCCTTCTTGAGCTCATCCAAGTTCCTCTCCTTCTTGTTCCGCTTCCCTCCATTCTCAGCACCGAACTGGAGGAAAAAAAAAAAAAAAAAAGAGATTATCATACATCAGGCCCGTAGGCTACCATCCCCAAACCCCCACAGAAAATAAGTGGGAAAAGTCACATGCTTGTCGCCATGTTGCGCCTAGCCATTTACATTCATAGCGCCGTATTACAAGCGTCAGTGTGAGCACAATGGACTTTGTGTAGGCTGGTTCATTTCAATCTCCTGGCACTATTGGCAAACTATTCACTGAGTATAGGGGAGATTTTTTTTTTCCCCTCATAGTGCGAGTTCCTCATTTGTGTGAGTGAGAGAGCGTGTGTGTCAGGAACAGTTGGAAGAATGGTGCATCATGGAAATCATCTGCTGCTGTCAGTCTCCTCTTAGCAGCACGTGTGCATGTCAGCGAAGGAGGGATATACAAAGAGAATGAGGGGAGAGTGTGAGCGAGTGACACAGTGAAAAAGTAATCAAAAAGAGCCAAAGAGGGAGCACAGAGCCGGTGGAGTGCCTGAAATGTGTCTGGCATAGCAATTTCCCCCCGCTGTTTGCGAGGACGATTACCAGCCTGTCCTCCCATAAAGGTAAATGGAACTGGCCTGATGGAAGGAATAAAAACAAAATTACGTAATTACACAAATAAACAAGCCGGGAACAAAACTTATTGAGGAGAAAAGCCATCATCCTGAAATGTTACTGTCTTTAAAAAAAGAAGGAGCACTCTATCGCTCAGAGACATCAAGCCCTGCAGGCACATTTAGATAACTCAGTAGTTTTCCATGATGCATGTCCACGCCATATGCTGTAACTGTACATAAGCTACAGAGGGAACACAGAGTCATGTTTTTCCGCTCAGTTTAGACAGGAAGAAATGGCTTTAGTGTAATAAAAGAAAAACGGATATAAGAAGACGACTCTCTTTAAGTTGTTGTTTTTTTTTTTTTTTAAAAAAAGGAAGCAAACTTACCCCTCTGCCCATGCTGGACGTCCAGACGTCGGCAGGTTATAATGTGAAGGACAGCGCTCAGGGGCCCTGCCACAGCTGAGACCTCCCACCCCCACGTGTGGAAGACACTGGTGGCTTTTTTTGGGCCTGGCACCCCCACACCAAACATCCCATTCCCCCTGCTTCTTGCTCCCTCCTGTCAGGGTAACCTGAGCCATAAGACCCCCCCACCACCACTCCAAATCCCTCCCCACTACTCTACTCCTACCACAGGGCTTCTCTGCACCCAGTCACCACCACATACACATTCCACTCACAGAGGGGGTGTCAGTGTGTGTACCTGCACCTGCTCAACACACACGGTCCCTTGGAGAACAACAGCCCATCAATCACTGCTGTCAGCACAGCAACACAACAAATGAAACTTTGCACTCTACATAACATACAGTATTTATAACAAACGCGTTAATGAGGGACCGGTGCCAGGCCTTGAGATTTACATTGAAAAGCAAGCAGTGTTCAGTTATTTGGTTTCTGAGCACAGATTGAATCCTCAGGTCTGCTGTTCTGCAAATAAATCCTGTGATAAATTGTTTAATCATTTATTAATTGATCCTCAAAGATGAACTGTTAACATTTTAATGTTTTTTCCTCTGCTTGAATTCAAAGTGATTTATAGCCAGTGCAATGCAGCAATTAGCTTTAAGTCCAGCATATTTAGAACATAAGGCAGGTCATCACCACTGCGCCCACACAACAGATGCGGTGAGCGATCCTGTGTCAGATAAGTACCAAATGTCTTCTCACCAGTTGCCAGTTACTTTTACAGTACATTTTACGCCTTGGCTCTTCCTATATTGCAACGCCTCTAATACCGGCTGTACACTTCAATGGTATGAGCCCCTGTGGTGTGCTCCTTTTCAAGGTTTGTTCCTAATAACAGGAGTTTAATAGAGTTTGACATACTATAAAAAATAAAGCTTCTTATTGAAGTGTTTTATTTCACAGACATAAATGTAGAAATTGTAGCTATAGCATACGACAGAGAAAAAGAATCAAACAGTTCAGTTTAAACCTCAAGAGGAAACAGAAAGAGAAAGCTAATATTATTTGGCTAATAGTCTTGTTTCTAACCTCAGTGGAGATTAACTTTTGAAAGCTGAAATAACACAGTGCTCCAAAAGTCAAATTCATAACCACAAGCAGTAAAACACACCCTTACTTAATTCAATACACTCAGGGATTTTGCTACAGCCATACATGTTCAGGTATGACAAGTAGCTTAGATTATGATGGCTAATGTTAGCTAATGCTAACAAACTCTCAGTATGGTTGTATATCATTAAGTCAATTTTTTCAGACTTCATGACTAAACTTGTGCTGCTGCTACTACAACGTAATTTAACAGGTCAAAGACTTTGAGGGTTTTATGACAAAAGTAAAACATGTAACTTACTTTATATGTTGGAAAATGGAGGGAAATACAGCATCAAGATGGGGAAGAAAGGTCTGAAATCAACACATCTCAGAAACCTTACCAACAGAATCCTTTGAAGGAATACTTCAACATTTTGGAAAATATGACTTTTCGCTACCTAGCCTATGTTACATGAGAAGACTATCAATACCAATCATGCCTGTAATGTTACTTTGAATGTGGAGCTGATGCCGCATTCACATCATGTAGGAGTCATGTTAATGATGGGAAACATTCCTATGTTTACAACTGGAAGTTGACCTCATTGGACAACTGGCAGCTGTCAGTCTTCTTGTGTTAGTGCATCTCACTCATTATTCTAGGCTTCACAAACACTAATTAAGCAATATAAAGACAAGTTAGCTACTTAGCAGCAAACACCATATAAAAATAACAATTAATAGCAACTATATTGCAAAGTTGAATGTGCAAGGGTTAAAAATACTGCGCTTGTCCAGTTATTTTCCTCTAATAATGGACTGTGCTGGCACTTTTTTTAGCATCAAAACAGATCTATTGGGGGTTTCAGTAGAACTATACCTTTGCCAGTCATAATTACACCTTGATTGTTGATATGAAGGCTGTCTACAAGAGGCAGAGTGATAATTATAGTAACTCTGATATGACATGAATGCAGCAATAAGCAACAAGGAAATTATCTTAGCACATAGCCTAGCGTAAAAGACTGAAGGCAGAAGGACACAACTCCCTGGCTCTGTCCAAAGGGAGGAAAAAAAAACCTCCAGCACCTGTAAAGCTCATTAATTAACACTTATCTCATTTTTTAAATTTGTGCACCTGAAGAAATGTGAAAAGCCACAAGAATCTGGGGAGTCACTGCGCCCAGCTGCTTGTCAAGAAGCGGTTAATACAGTGTAACTGTCTCATCTAAAACCATAAATTAACATCTTTCTATTTCTGGCTGTGCATAAGATAGTTAACTTTAGAGGTGTTATGCACATTTTTTAACTTTGAAGAGAGCCACACCAGCTATTTCTGCAACATTGAGTTTTTACTCTAAGCTAAGCTAAACTAAGCTAAGGGTCTCCTGGCCCCAGCTCCATACATAACGCACAGACATGAGAGTGGTATCAATCTTCTCAGCTAACTCTCAACAAGACAACAAAGAAGTGCACCTGCCAAAATATAAAACCCATATATGTAAGAGTTGAACATTTCTGACTTTTTTTACTCCTACTGATAGCATTAAATCACACACTGGCAGACAGTAATCAGCATCATCCCTTTAGCCAGTCGTTGCGGTGCTGCAGCTGAGCAGGTCAGTGGCCACAAGTTAAAGACTGTGGTTGTACTGTGTGTATGTGTGTGTGTGTGTGTGTGTATGTGTGTGTGTGTAACTGTCTGAATATGAAGTGGAGCATTTCTGAAAAGGTTATGTATGCTCACTGAACCCCACCTGCATTTTAAGTCAGAAAAATTAAGCCTCTCTGAAAATTATACCTCATTTTGTCACCCTTTAAAATGTGAAAAGGTTGTAAATGGTTACTGAGCATTTATTTCCAGTTCATCATCATTACTTTTTGGTAGTTGGGTAGCAAGGGGGCATGATGAGGTGAAACCATTTTAGTTCTCGGCTGCCATCGTGCAGTAAAGGAGTTTCAAAGTTTAATTCCGAAAATGAATTCCTTTTGTACCTAAAAGAAAAACACCTGGTGGTCATTGTTCAGCATTTTGGGTCTCCAGATTACATCCTCTAAAATGGTCTTATTGTGTATGCAAATGTCTTCTGAGAGCTAATAAGGCCAGTGCTATTCTGTAATATCTCATTTTGGAAGGAATTTCTTCTTTTGAAATGTTCATGAAAGTATGTCATTGCGGAGACGTGACAGATTTACTCAATGTCTGGGACTTGGACGAGAAAGAAAGGAGGCTGCAGACACTTTCAGCTGGGTTTACTTTGTCTCCTGTTGATAACAGCTGCGCATGGGGCTTTAATTTTTATTTACGTTCTCTTTACAACATATTATACAGAGTCATCCAATGGTGTTAGTGCTCTGGAATTATCACAAGCATTAAAATAAATGTAAAAAATATGTAAGAAGCTCCAGTCATTTCAAAATGAAGGGATGTTATTGTGCGACTATGACTAATACAGTTCATAATACATACAAACAAAACATTTTTAAAAAGGCATTTTAACGCTGTCTTATGTCAGGTGTCTGTGTGGCTTTGCTGAAAAAGAAGAAAACATTCTAACTAATCCATTTGACTGGATAGTTAAACAGCGACTAGTGAAACAGATCTCCAGTTATAAAGATGTGGGCTTTAGCACCTCCATTCCTGTTATGAATTTTAAAGGAACATTCAAGTCTACACTATCCACCCTGCATATCAAGCACGCAGATCACAATCCATCTTTGGCTCAGGGTTGGGGAAGGAGCACCTTTAAAAGAAAGCTCAGGGGGAAGAGCAGGCTCTATCTGTAGTGATACATAAGGATTTTTGGCTTGGCTTAACACACCAGATAAGTCTCTTCCTCCCAAGCTTTCTCCCACAGCAAGTACAGTCCTCCCCCCTTTTTTTTTTCTCCCCAGCCACGTTCGCGTTGAATCTGAGGCTAACCGAACCCTCATCCCACCCCTCGTGTTTTCTCTGACACTGCAAGACAACCTCGATTTCCCTTCACCTCGGAATAAGACGTGCACCAAAGACACAGCCACACAGTACCATCAATAACACACAAGGTCAGAAATATAAATGCATATTGCATACAATGCAATTACATTTCTTCACTGCCTCGATAAATATGTTCTCCATGTGTTTTTTTCTTTGTACACATGTAAAAAATGTCTCAGAAAACATTATTTGCTTTACTTAGGGTAACATAATGGTTTTTTTTTTTGCTTTATATCAAATCTCTTTTAAACACTCTTTAACTAGACACACATATACATAAAAACACGCGTCGTATTTGCGACCGGAGAAGAGCTAGCTAGATTATAAGTTTCTGTCTTCAATGACAACTAGAGGCCGATTTCTGCCCATGTGTTTCCTTCCTTTGCCAGTTGGGGGCAGAGGAAAGCATTTTGGCATTCGAACCAGCAGAAATAAGACAGTAAGGGATCGGTGGAAGGAGGGTTGAGGGGAGGGTACATGCCTCTGGGGGAGGTGGCATTTTGAAGGGCAAGAGAGAGGACGTTCGGCGATCACTGGACAAGACGGAGGGGAGAGAGATGTCCATCACTGAGTTTGAAAAAGAGAAGTAGGAGGGTGTGGAAGAGGAGGAAGGACAGGAGAGAGGAAAGAGGAGCAGAGCATTGAGCTGTAGGCCTGGCAGTCAGATAAGGAGAGGCTTAAAGAGTGGAGTGGATTGTGTATAGGCCTTTTCTGTGGGGGAATAATGCAGTGCAGAATCACTAGACGACAGGAAGAGGAAGAGATAAAGGAAGCCAAAGACGTAAAGACAGAGAGAATGAAACACGGGTTTGGTGGGAGGAGATGAATCCCAAGATGGGAGCTGAGATGAAGAGAGAATAACAGAGGAGCGAAGACAGCAGAGGAGGCAGGGAGGGAGATGTAGAGAGAGATATCTGGTTACCAGCACGCGCTAAAATAATTAGCCCTGGGCTGGCGAGGAGAAAGTCGCGAGCGGATTAACTGGACCTAAAATAACTGAGAGCACAGAAGCTGCACCTCTTCCTAGTAAGCCCTTTTGTCAGACTCCTGAGAGCATCCGCCAGCCCCTCGAGGGGGGGGTGGGGGGGTGTGAGGGGGGGCCGTGACGTCATCCCGGGTTCGTCAGTCGCCGGCCGTCGAGTCAACAGCGGACAGCCCCATGCAACAAACAGCGCAGCAGGCTCCCCCTACCGCCCGCCCTGCTTGCTTCTTTCTTTCTCTTCCACCCTCCCTCCCCCCCCCGTCCCCTGTTGGCTGAAAAATGTGCAGCTGTTACAGTAAGCCCGTACGCTCTCATAGCGCCAGAAATAGCCCCCTTTAGCCAGGGCAGGGACACGGCGACAACCTCCATTAGCTCAAATGTGAGAGGATTGAATCACCCCGAGCTCGAGGGCTTGAACCTCTATCTACGCTGGCTGAGAGCAGGAATCATATTTCTCTCCCACTATCACTCTCCTCTCCCTCTCTGTCTCTCTTTTTTCTCTATCTGAAGTCCAGAGTGCACTCACAGCTCCGCTCAGTGTGTGTGATTGAGTCGTAAACATTAAGGGGGAAGATTCAGGGGACTCTAAACACAGAGGGATGTCTTTCGGGTTCCTCTTAAGGAAGTTATGTGCATAGTTAGGCCTTAAACAGTTTTACAGTTTGCCCAATGAGCGCATACAGGGTCTCCGATGAGGCGCTGTAAAAATTATTTGACACTGTTGCCACTGATATAGTAGGACCATTCTTACAGCCAATGCTGTCTTGAAAGAGTAGAGATAATGGGAAATAATGGGGGTTGCATCAGGCTGGGCAGAAAAGGAGGGAGCAGACTAGAGGAGTGGAGGCAGTCATGGAGAAGTCAGACCTTTATCTATAGGAGAAAGAAAAGGAAGAAAAGAGGGAAGGGAAGTGAGAGAGGAAGAGAAACAGGATAGAGCAGTTAGCATATAAATCACCTCTATAATTTGAATTAACAAGAAAGTCAGGAAATTCACAGTGAAAGAGGAAGAAATGGGATAGGAGAAGAAAGACTGAAGATCAGGGTGAGGGGGGTGGGGGTGGGGGTGGGGGGGAGTTAGAGTTTGACACGACGCCTTCGAGAAAAAGCAAATTGGCTTGTCCCTGCAGCTGGGGATTCGTGATGCGTATCGGACGCACTTGGAGAAAGCTTTTTTTCGGCGGATAGGATCACAATGAAAGGAACCAGAAAGGCAAAACCCGGGGAGCTGCTTTTTAGATTTTGTTATCAAACCCAGCCGTCTTAGGGTCTCGCTTCAAATGGCATATCTTATGACCTGACAAAAGTACTTGGGGTGCCAGCTGGTGTAAGAGATTATCACGACATCTTAGATCTCGGCCCATATAGCTGCTGCGTCTACAGTCATCAGCCTGTGACAAGAGCAGATATGATTTGACTCATTTATTCAGGGACTCAGGTTGGCATTGTGGTGGGTGTAAAGTAGGTTTGCGGGGTAACTCTTCTGCTGTTTCCTCAGTAGACGTCCCACTCTCCTATCCTCAACAGCTTCCTCCCCCTGTCGGCCTCCCCTGCCTCCCTATTGGTCTATTGTTTGAAGGTGAGCTGGTTGGCGAGGTGGGATAGAAGGCCAAGCGCTTTGGATCTCCCCATCCCTCTCGCACCGCTGGGCCCCTGCTCCCCATTTCTGCGGGTCAGCTCCAGGTCGATGGTCATCAGCACCCGGCCCTCCTCCCCTCCCCCCCCCACCCTCTCTGTCTTTCTGACTATGGTTCGCTGCTGCTGATTGGGCTGGGACTTCGCCACCGCCTGGCGCACGGGCTGGAGCAGCCAGCTGGCGAGCCCGCCCCAGCCCCTCCCCGTATCCTATTTCTTATCCTTGCGTGACTCCTGCTTCTTCTTTTCCGAGGCGGCCGCCTTCACCTTGGAGGGGTCAGCGGGAGGCACGGGGCCCTGTGGGGGAGGAGGGAGAGGGGGTCGGGGGGAGAACAGGGGAGGAGAGTCACTTCAGGAGGAAAGGAGCGTGAGGGAGATAGAAAGAGAGAGAGAGAGAGAGGGCAGGGAGGTAAGGAAGGAGGGGGGTGAGATGGGGTACGTTAGAGTTGAGAGGATGAGAGATGGGGTTAGCAGGATGGGTGGAGCTGTGTGAAGAGGAGAGAAAAACACATTTAGGAGGAGGAGAAAAGAGACTGACATACGGAGAGACAAGAAAGGGGTGAGGAGGTAGAGAGACAGTCCTTTTAGGGGAGGGGGTAGCAAGTGAGAGGGGGCGGTGTCCAGAGCTGTAAGGGGGTGACAAAACAGGTAACCATGCGTTAGGATGGGACACAGTGGCAGGCCGGCTCCAAACACCTGTGACAACTGGGTGACAATTGATCAATAACACACACACACACACACACACACACACACACACACACACACACACACACAGACACACACACACACAGGGAATTGACCAATACTGGTTTGAATAGTAGGTAAGTACTAAGTAAGTGTAAAGTTGACTGAAACGTGACTGTTGTTAGACATCTACGAAACATTTTCAGTCTCTATATTTCTGTGTGAAGTTAGGACATGCAGCACCATGTATAAAATATAGTCATTTAAATACTGTTGAAACACATGGAATCCATAACCTAATTTGAATAGCTGAAATCCAGCCTTTTTCAGTTTCAAGTGTGCGGGAGAATTAATTATTCATTGTGGACCTCCCAGACCACTTTGCTGTAGCTGTGGTTGGACCCGCTTGACTGGATTCATGATATTTGTGTAAAAAAAAAAAAAAAAAAAGGCCAACAACAGCTTCAAATATTCATCCAACTAGCACTTATATAATCCATCCATTCACTCCCACTTATTCTGGATATTGTCTGTGCAATGTCTAAAAACATCTTTGAGAAGGAAATCTATGAAAGGAAGAGGAGGAAGAGGAGGAAGAGGAGGAAGAGTGTGTGTGAAGTAAAATGAGGCTCTACTTGAGCACAAATTAGGAAGGACAGAGTGGAGATAATGTCAAGACAACAACAAACTTCACTTTACAATAGCTCTATTCCAGTGCATTAACCTGCGAGCTGACCTATTGAAAAGTATCACAAGTACAGGATAATGCTTTGATGGAACTGAATAAAACTTCACTCATATGTACATTTTCACAACAGTGTGTATTATTAAAAACAAAAAAAAACACACTTCCACAGGTTGACTTCAGGCCAGTGCACTGCTGTGAAGTGTTACCATGGACAGACAGAGTGAACAGGAAGCATGCTGGATCTGATTTAGGTTTAGAGACTGAAATAATTCTGCTCTAATACATCAGGTTAGTCAACGGTGGAAAGCACACCAGGGGCTGCTTCTTCTCGCTGAAGCTTCGACTAATAATACCCCACTGATTGCATTAGAAAATTTATCATCTTTAATTATGCACTGTGCAAAAGCAGCACGCACTTTGATAAGACCGCAATCGAGGCGTTCGTTACAGCTAACATCCGGCTCCACGGGGCTGCGGCGCAGTCCATCCGGTGTCATTACCCTCAATCACACTTGGATTCTCTTATATATCATTGTATTGTTTACCATCATGCATCCAGTGGTAGGCTCTTTTTGTGCTGCAATGTATTGCAGAGCTCCCACGCTAATGACGGGGCTGCTTCGTAAACACACTCCAGCCTGCTTAGGCAGAATGCAGAACCACCCTTGTTACAGGAGCTGCACACACTTCAAAGGAAATGTGGGTACAGTGGCAAAATAGGAGGGCTGGTGGAGGGGGGGGGATAGATAGGTAGGTAAGTGGCTGCGTCCCCTGCTGCATACTAAAAAGAAGACAGTGACAGGTGAGGAGGGAGATTGAGAGGCAGATGAAGGGTGAGAGGTAGTGATTTTCTGTCCAGAACCGAAGCTGATCAAAACCCAGCAGACCTGAGGATGGAGAGGAAGAGAAACTGGGAAGGGAGAGAGGCGGCGGTGGCGGTGGTGGTGGTGGAGATGGGGAGGAGGGTGAGGGATGGTTCAACAGAGCAAGGGAGGGAGTAAGAAGGGGAGGTGAGTGGGGGAATTACAGACAGACAGATGCTTCTCATGGTCAGCGAGGAAGTCAAAAGGCACAACAGGGGGGGGAGGGAGGGAGAGGAGGAAGATGCAACTGAAGAGAGAAAGAGAGAGAGAGAGAGACATGGGACCGGATAAAAGGGAATGTGAATGAGAGATCGAGGGAGGGAGTGAAATGAAGTGAAGTGGGGGGGGTTGCCAATTGGGGGACGGAAAGAAGAATGGGTGGGGTGGGTTTGTGTGTGTGTGTGTGTGTGTGTGTGTGTGTGTTTGAGCTCAGATCGATACCGAGTGCACTCAATTATCATTCCAGTACAGTGTGTGTGTGTGTGTGTGTGGGTTCGCCCCTGTGAGCTTTCTTATGTGTGTGGCTGCGGGGTAAACTCCTCTCCCACAACTCCACCTAATGGGGAGTAGCACACACCACGGGGTTCCTTTGTCTCTCTGTCTCACTCACTCACTCACTCACTCGCTCACCCACAGCCTTTTGGAGATTTGTAGTGCAAGCCAAGCAAACAGAAAGTAACAAAGATGGTGAGGCTGATAGAAAATTGTGTGGTGTCAGCAGAGCCTCCTAATAAGGGCTATTTGATCAAACAACCACTTATGAGTGCACTATAAAATCCCGTGGGTGCTCTGTGTGTGGCGTAGCTACAAGAGAGGGATCAGCTCGGAGGAGAGGAAAAATAAAAAAATAAAAATAAAAAATAAGTGAGTGTGAGCTCAGATGGAATAGCTGCTTCTGCGGTGTATTTTTCCTCCAAGCCGAGACTTTCAGGAGAGTAACTGTAAATGACAACGTTGTCAAATATTTCAGTGTCCTTTCGGCGGCGAGTTATTTATTCATATATGCACTGTCACCCGCCGCAGGCACTTGAGAGCAACTGACTGCAACTCAAGAGTAACCTGACAATCAAACGACAGTAGAAAGGAAAGAAGAAGACAGAGGGAGGAAGAAGGGCTCCGGGGAGTTGAGAGCGAGTGCACTTGTTTGAGGTAGTAGGATGGGTTGGCCCTCACTGGTGTCGCCCCCTAGGTTTGAGCCGCAAGGGCAAGACGTTGCACTCCTAACCTGCCGGGAGAAGCCTGACGCCGCCACCACCGCCGCCGCCGCCGATGCTTCATCTTTACATTAGCTTATACCTGCGGCTAAATGACTCGCTGTCACAATAACACCTTTGATCTCCTGCCTCAGATATCTTTGCGCGCTTCTCATTTCAAAGCTCATTTTTGATTTAGGAAAACGCCTTGAACTGAAATCCCTTGACTTCCCCCCTTTTTTTTTTTCCCTCCCCATTATCAGCATGCAAGGCGTACAGTCAATTACAATACACCCCCGCAACCATCCAGCCCCCACATTACCACAGAGTAATCAAACAGAACTTGCCCTGGTGCCTTGTATGCACAAAAGAATACAAGCCACCAAAATGTCTGATTAATCCACCACTTGAGGCTATCACACTCCCATGAGGAATAGAAGGGAGAGAAGAAAAAAAAAAACCCCAATCCTTGGCGTGCAGCAGCGTAAAACCACTGATAACAGCCCAGACCATAATAGGCCCAGTGATTTTCATTTGACTCCCAGTGAGCGAAATCAGTAGCTCCTGTCCATTTCCCCACAGCGAGCAAATCACAGTCCCATTCAATACAGCAATAGCATTAGTGCCGTGACCTGGCCTCAGCCATTTCACAGTCGCTGGTTTGATTTTTGCCCCATGGCTGTTTACTAGTACCGTGCTGTTTTGGCCCCCCTGAGGGAGCTGAAGGAGGAGTGAGGGCCACGACAGAGAGTGGGAGAGGAGGGACAGTACAGGGGTTTTAAGCCCCTCGAACGTTCACACAGCACTAGAATTTTAACAGCTTGAACACTGTTATTAGTGTTAGCCGGGCAGAGTTTGAATGACATGTTATTTTGCGGTTGATATGTTGCTGCGAGGAGGAGACGGCTATGTGTGCGGACATATTGGAGCAGCTTGGACCGGCATTTGGGGAATGCGATTATGAAACTGTGCCGTTATGCACTGTCATGTTGGATATGTGCTATTGTGTGGCTGCGCTGCAACTGAATAGATGAATATTCCTTCCGACACCACGTTTCCTGTGCCGAACAAATATTCAAACACTGAATTGAATGCTACTGTAATCTCTCTAAAAGGACGTCATTTTACCATGTTGCGCGTGAATGTGACAGCAAACAAGGCTGTTGCATTTGGTGTTGTTGGGTGGATGGAGTGTGTGAGGAAAGGAGGCAAAGGAGAAGGAGCAGGAGGTGGAGGTGGAAGAGGAAGAGGGGACGTGGAAGAAGGAGTGGAGGGAACTTGCCTGTCTCTGCTGTGATCCCTCTTTCTTTTTCTTGCCATGTTTGCTGGAGGGGACAAAAGAAAGACAATGTCAGAATGTCGAATCTATCTCTCCCTCCAGTGGTCACAGGGCAGCATTGCCTGGCAGCCATCATAAAGAGAACATCAACTCAATCTACTGGCCCTGTGTCAAACACAGCCCCCCTGGTGCTCCATGTGTTAAGATCTAATAAGATTGGAAGGGTATGAGCAAGATGATGGATCCATCATCTTCATGATCTAGTGGATCATACACTCAGACACCTTCGCTTCACCACTTTCAATCATCTTGCTTTGCTCCTATCCGTCTGTTTCCAGCTGACTAATTTCAAATCTAAACCTTGCACACCAAACCAAATCAAATCGTGGCACCACAGCTATGCCAGCTTGGCCACACAGGTGTCGGTGCCAGGGATGGGCTCTGGCCTCAGCTCCAGTCCCTGGCACAGAAACGACTGGCAGAGCGCCGCCGGCCACAGGCCGGGCACTGACCTGACACTGAGGCTGAAGACACGGCGCGCCACCAGGAACCTCATCAGGTAGTAGATGACCACGATGAGCACAAGCAGGCCCAGCACCACCCCGATGATGGCCCCTGTGATCACGCCAGCCTGGATGGGCACTGTGGATAGAGGAGAGGAGGGTGGTTAGAAGGAAGAGGAGAGGAGAGCGCTGAGAATTTGAGGATAAAAAGGAGGAAGAGATGGAAACCAAGTGACAGGCGGAGGCTGGGAGTGTTCAGAAGAAAAAAGAAGGTACGAGGAAAGAAACAGTAAAGGGGCGAGAGAAGAAACAAGGTTGTCATAGGAGAGAGGAAATGGATGGGAGAGGAAGGGGGGGAACAAAGCTGGTAGAAAAGGGAATGAGACATGAAAGTAGAATAGAAAAGAAAAGCAAAGGTAAAATAAAGGTTGAATGAAAGATGAAGGATTCAAGTACAGTAGAGGCAGAGAAGAGGAGGTGAAGACAAGGAGAGATAAGGTAGAATAAAGGTGAGACAGGGATGGAAGGAGAAGGTGGGCGGTGGGATGAGACGGTTGAAAATGATGGAAAAGGGGAAAAGAGAGAAATGGGAGGAGAAGGCGAGGGGGAAGGATGGAGGGAGAAAAGAAGTGAAAAGGAGGCGGTGATAGCAATCTCAAATAGAAAAAGAGATAACATTGTAATTGATTTCATTTAACAGGAAGTGCGAGGAATCTTAAATGAGGCAGCGCCACGACTGGTCTGAACACAGCGCTCGCTTTAGTCTGATGCACAGGGCAAATTGAGATTAATTTCAGAGTTTGGAATGATTATAACAACAATTGAGAACAGTTGGCTTCTGACGAAAAACATTCACCAAAATATGCCATATGGGCTCAGTGGAAAGCTAATGAGCAGACACAGATGTAAGACAATGCGGGCATTAAACTTAACACACTGCCGAATTTGATTTTACCGGGGAACCCCCCCTCCCCACGGGGCTCACTAACTCGCTGTACTCCCTTCCCCATATCACCTTTCTCAAAGACCAGCAGGCGAACGCTGGAGGGCCGGCCCACTATGTCAGGGGGGTTCTTGGCGTCGCAGGTGAAGGTGCCGTTGTCGTTGAACTCCAGGTTCTTGAGCAGGATGGAGCCGTCACGGCGGCCTGGGTTACCCACAAACTCCAGCCGGTCCCTGAATGGGCCCTTGTTGTCCACATAGGCGGCACCACCGGTGTAGTGGAAGATCTGTAGAAGACAGAGAGGACATTGAGCTGTTTATGTATGTGGTGTTACCATGGTGACAAGTACTTACTGAAGAGTTACTGCTGCATTTAACTGTTTTTGTGGTTTTTATATCTGATTAACTCTTCCTGTGGTGGTTCAGATTCAATACATATTTTGAAGTTATGTACAAAATAAAGACAAAAAAAAGTCTTGGAAGCATCAAGTACTGAAGACTGAAATCAAATTCATGGTCTTTGCTTACTAGTTCTTCAATAGATCATCCTCGATTTAAACTTACAATAAGTGATTTTTTTTGGCCACTTGCGGCCAGTGGAAGATGTAAACACATTATTTGAGTTGACATGGTGAATTTGTAAGCGAACATTTTTCTTATTTAAACGTAGATGTAGAGCATCATTAACATTCATTCGGAATTGCGTTTCTGTGAAACTTCGCAAACGCAACATTCACTCTTATCTCTGCTTTGGTCTCCACCAACTCCTGCTTAACGAACCACTGTGTTCTAGTCACTAACCATGTCCCTCTGCCTTTTGGTCTAGTGCAGGTAGCGTACAGTGGATTTTAGCTGCCTTCTGGGGCTGAAACAGCGCTACGCGAACACAGAGAATGAACCAAAATGGTAAAGTTTCAGGCCTGGAAAAACCAAAACAATAAGCTGAAAGACACTAAAACGCTCTATAGAGCTGAGCCGGCTGACTACAGAGACTACAGGCTCATCACTATGAGCGACATTACACACAGTCATTCAAGCCTCTGAAAAATACTGATTCAAGCAGCTTTACCTCAAAATTTAGCCAGTTTTTATTTCAAGATCTTGTTCATTCAAGATCAGATCTTGTTGGTCTTGATCTTGCTCCTTTTTGACATAATAAAATCATTTAGATCGTTGGCGTTTTCTTTTAATGGAAAAGCAGATGAGTTGTGTAGAAAAGCTTGTTTACCATTCGTTTTCAGAAAAGTGAGATAAGTACAATAGTATTGCTTTGGTATCATATCAGCACAACTAAAAAGCCTTTATAGCGGGAAAATGTCATCACAAATTAAATCCAGAGTTCAAAGAAATTATGTTTTTTTAAAATAGAAATACTAATTTGGGGCGATGACCCACAAAGTCAAGGTCAAATTTGGTTGAAACTGTGGCTCTCAGTACTTGAGCCTGTGAGACACATGAGCACGTTCCATGAATTACACACAACCTTTCATATAAGATGAACATGGCAGAAATCAAATGCGACATTTTAAAAGGACAAATGCAGCATGAAAACAGATAGACATATGAAACTGTAAATCCGTCCAGGCGGGTGGAGAAATGAGCGACAGAAGATAAGTGGGGAAAAAAAAGAAAAAAGAGAGAGAAGTGAAATCTAGTTTCAAAGTGAGGGCACTGCGGGAGACAGATGAAGGCGAAGGAGGTGAGGGGAGGAGATAATGAGAGAAGAGGGGAGGGACAAAGAAGGCAGGGCTGGAGAGGAGGAGATTAAGGGAGGTGGACAGAGGGAGGCGCAGTCAGGATGGGGAGATAGAGAGATTAGAGAGATGGCAGGATGATAAGGGCAGGGAGAGTGAAATTAAAGAGCGTGAGGCAGGTGAGGCAGCAAGAGGAATAAGAAGATTAGGAGTAAAGTTTCTGTGCAGCTGTTGTTTCCCATAGTAAGTTAATACATGCAAATTGCACTTGTGTGTTGGAATAAATTGAGCATTGTTTGAGTGTGTGATGACATTTTAGATAATACACTCTCCTGGATTTGTCATTTATTAAATTAAATTGATAATTTGCTTAGAGTTCTCTACAAATTACTCAAAAGTTTGTGAATTTGTCCATCCTGATCAGCCGCGTTTAAATTCCTATCATCCTCATATAAAAGCAGCAGAATTCCAGATTGATGTAGAGAATCGGGTCATGTGACATCAGTGCACCACTCCCTCTTCTAAGTTTCTGCTCGTCTTTGGTGGGGGGGGCGGAGACGGCAGAAACAAAAAAGTCTTTTTGGCAGCAAACAAAGCCGTTGCTGGCAAGTCTACATTTCTGTCGCTGTAAAGGATGTTGTTGTGTTGTCTTCTAAAATATTTATGTGCGGCTTCTTGAATGTGTAAAAAGATTCAAGCTTCAAGTTGAGAGTACACAAAATCAGGATTTCATTGACGGAGAAGAGGGGAGGAGTTGCTCCGCTGCTGTGACTCCAACTTAAAGACTTATGCCAAATATCTCCTCAGCTCTTCAGCTGCTAAACGCGTCACCGTGTTCAACAGCGAGTCATTAAATGTGACTGCTGTTCGGTGCTGAGCAGGTAGTGTGCAGCGGGTTCATCAGAGCTTTTTCACAGAAACAGCTGTCTGATCTTGATGAGGATGATCAGAGTGAATCAAAGCAGCAAAGTTGCAAGTTGTAACACCAAAAAAAAAAGAAAAAAAAGCTGAAAGATGCTAAAATGTTTTTTTTTGTAGCACTTGCGTCAAGATTGTTCCATGACAGTTTCATCAAGTGCAGCTTTGATTTTGAATTTTTGTCGAGAGTTACTAATTTTTTTTTATTTTTTATTTTATTTTACAGGTTTCATGAATGTGACAGCCAACTATATGGAAGTTGGACAGCATGTTTTCTTTTCACTGTGATGGCATGCTCAGATGTTAGTACACCTGTCCTAATATCTTGTACAGTTTGTGCGTGTGAGAGTGTGTATGTTACAGAAATGCTGTCCCGGGAGCCGTCGGGCCTGTACGTCCAGGAGAAGGTGACGTCCTCCGAGGTCCAGCGCCAGGAGAAAAAGGAACAGGACAGTCGGATGTCGGAGCCCACCAGGGCGTGGCGCTCCCAGCCGGTGTAAATCACTATGGCCTGGGACTGCTCAGGCACTGGGGGAGACACAAATCAGGTGGATGGAGTTAATGCACAAACACCCATCCCGTCAAGTTCGATGTGATTTCAGTGTAAAGAAAAATACTCCCTTTACCACCTTCTACTGTAGAAAATGAACTGCAAAAATACAAATACACAAACACTTGTTTCACAATTTTGCTGTGAACGCATGTAACGACTTGCATTTTTCCTTAAATCACCACATTCCTGAATATTTTTCAATCCCTTCTGTAATCACGAGATATACAAAGCAGCACACCATTCATTAGTTTTCTCCTTGAAATCCATAAAACAAATCCCAAATACCTGGCTCCTGCACCCAGACACACATGTTAAACTGCACATTTAGTGGTGTCAGATCCACTATTGATTCAGACATGCACTCAGAAAATATTTGGTTTATTACTGGAATATTGGTGCTAGTCTCTAAAAGTCAAAGGGGAACATCATTTTCTCCATTAATATGGATTATGTTGGCTTAATCATGCGCACTGTTTATGCTTAAATAATATTAAATGATCAATGTTAATTTGGTTTTGGCTGCAAAATCAATATTTTACTTCCATAGAAAATGCACTCAGCATCTCAAACAACCCACCAAAGCCCCCGGGAGCTGCACACACCTGCCACTCTAACATTAGCCACAACGCCATTTTTTTTTGTATCGTTCAGTAGGACTTGAAGCATGTGAACAGATCATGATGACTCACAGTATTCTCAGCTACATTAACACTTATGTCCTAAGTGTTCATGAGCTTTTTTTTTTTTTTTTTTTTGCCTCTGTTGACACCCAGAGAGTAAAGTTCACAGCTTTCACTACACGTGTCCTTGAGCGATTGGCGTTTGTGCAGCCAGCCACTGCAAAACGTGTCAATGAAATCACACTTGGCATTTTTAATTAAAATTCAGACAGAAAACTGCAAATATCTGACAGGATTGGAAAAAGGCAAAGCTACTGCATCTTCTCGAGAGTAAAAACCCTTGGTTTAAAAGTCATAATAGTAGTGCTGTTAAACTTCACAAGATTGGAGACACCTGCTTTAGAAGAGGAGCACAGATGGACAGAGCTGGGACACACAGCATCTGAAAAAGGACCTATATTCTCCACAGGTGTCCTAATGGCAAATTTGGATGAAATCAAAACAGCAAAGACCAAGACATCAATTTAAATGCTTTAGTTTAGTATTAATCCAGTGTAAAGGAAATGTTATATATCAGTGAAATTCACTACTTAACCTACTGATCCTTTTTTATTAACATCAACTTCATTAATTTTCAGGTAAGCATTGAAGAGGAAAACAGAAAAAGCTCCTCCTCTTCATCCTCATTTAACCTTTAACCTCCACCATCTCTGGAAAAATTATTTCTAAGTCTACACTTTCAACAAATGAAATTCAGTGTGGGCTTGTTTAACACTTCATCAAAAATAAAATAAAAGTTAAAAGAAGATTTTTGAATTTTCATTAATAAATTTTTTTTTTTTTTACCTATTCCCAGGAGGACGACCGACGCCAGCGCCAAAAACGTCAGCATGGTTTCAGGCTTCTACGGAGCTCCCAAAAGACTGATGCCGCAGACCTGACAGGAGTCTGTCGAGGAAGAGTCCCACTCTGGAGGGAGTGCGAGTGGAAGGAGGAGAAAGAAAGAAAGAGAGAAAAAGAGAGAAGAGGGGTGCAGGATGCCAGGGCAGAGGGCTTCAAAACAAGACAACAACAGAAAACCTACTGTCCCCTGGTTTATACCCAACCACACCCCTCGCCAAGGCCCGGCCCGGCCCATTCCTCCTCTCCACACATACCCCCCTCCCTCTCACCCCTCTCCATCCCCACCTCCACCCTTCCTGCCATTTCATCCCTCATTGAAACAAATTACACACATTATCTTTTGAAGTGGAGGAAAAACGCAGGCAAGAGGCACCTGCGCTGTACAGTAGCTGGTGAATTAATTGGGTAAACAATGGGCAACTTGGGGCGAATTTGCAAACTCTGAGCAGCATTATGCCATGATGAATGTAATGTGTTGGATTACACCCTCACCATGATGTGATTGAGTTGAGAGGGAGTGCTAATCAGCACTTAGCATGTAGGCACGAGCGAGGGCTGTGTGACAGGGACTCATGACCATCTGCAGTCGCTCCCTACGTGATGACTGCTCATATGTAAATATTACATGGGGAATGGTGGGAAGCCATCTCGGCCTGTGTCTGTTTACAGTGAGGGGGGTGGGGGGGGGACGTAGGGGATCCTGCAGCGAGGTCAGTCCAGTGCTCTCTCCACCATCCCCATCCCTGACCCCTCTTTCTCCTCTGCCTGCACTTTCAACGGGTCTGAGGCCAGCCGCCCCGAACAAAGCCGCGACTCTTCACACTCTCTCTCTCTCTCTGTCCTCCCTCTCTTCAGATTCCTGTCATTTGCTGACGTCTAGCACTTAGAGACAATGGAGAGAGGGGGGGACAGGGGCTGACTGGTGTTTGCCCGTCTGTCAATGGCGCTTTCTTCCTCTCCGGCCTCTCCCTTTCTTTTCTCCTCCTGCCTTGGACAAAGCTGTGTATTCAAAGTGCAGCGCCCACTCCTCGCCTTTCCAGTAACAGAGACAGCGAGAGTGTGGGGAGAGACCTGCTATATATAGATGGGTTGATATGAGGACAGGGCAAGACAAGACGCACAGACGTGAGAGCAAGACAGCAGCAGATACAGAGGCAGATGCAGGGGGGGAAAGAAAACGAGCAAGAGAGGCAGCAGTGTGAATGAGCGGACACGCCGGAGTGGAATTTCTGCAAAAGCCTCATTTCTGCAGGCCTCATTCCATCATTTTGTCACACGTCATAAATATGCATTCATTTAGCCGCCGGCATTGTAATAGTGAATACATGCACAAATTAATGGTCTGCGGTACTCCTCCAGCTTCAGCAAACACACAGGCTGGATTCACTTATACTCAACGATGAAGTGTGAACCATATCAATCATGAAGTGACTCCACCTACCCCCCAGGCAATTTATATATATATATATATATATGATGAGAGTGAGAAGAAGAGGAGGTACTCGACAAGGATGCCCACTTCATCCACTTCACGTTGTTATTTTATTGAGCCTACTTATCCAGGTTTCCTGTGCTACAAATCAAGGATCTCCTGTGCAATGGGGCTCTTGGCCAAGACAGCGGCGAAGCATTTAGCGATAGATCGACTTTTGCTTACATTTGAGACCGCGGCATAAATTCTTGCCACTTGTGACGAATCACAACTGCTCATTCTTCTTAACACCTCAAATACCCCGCTGACGGATCAGCTGAACAAAATGGACCATCTGCCAACTTGTTGGCGCCATCAACTGTCTAAGCTTTGGCTTGAACGTCTAAATCGCGACATCCTCAACAATTATGGCAGATCCTGCCTTCAGGCCCCAGAGAAACAGGGGGATTCTTTATGAGCCTGGCAGGTGCAGAATGTGGCAAGCGCCCAAACTCGTCAGCACCGAGTGACAGTGGCGGCAGCAGTGGCTGAGCTTGGCAGGCAGAAACTGTATCACATATAAAGCGAAGGCCTCCATTCCTTTAGCTGGCAGTGATATAGCACACTAATGTAGGAGAGGGAGCGCTTATCTGCTGCTAAATTATACAGAGAGGAGAGTTAGAGGAGAGGGGAGAAAGGTACCAGAGAGAAACAGACAGAGAAAACTCCATGTGTAGAGCCATTTAGAGATTTTTGCGAAATTATACATGAGTCCTCAGCTGTACTTTAGCGATATTGTGGTGGACAAGGCTTCATATCAATTGGTGTTATTAGAGATGACTGAATACGCAAAGTACCTCAGGCTTCAGACACTGTGTGAATGAAACCATCTCAAATGTCTGCCTGTATAACTCATCAAGCTTGTTTTCACGCGTTGAGACAGTGGCCTCAGTTGCATTTGGTGGGGGCATGTCATTAGACACCCGTAGAAATTAACAGAGCATATTTTCTTGTGATATTGTAATTTTCTTTGACGTAGAATTATTTCCAATGGGGTGAAAAAAAACATATCAAGCATACAGTCAAAAGACCGTGGGATAATCACAGTCTGGGAAAGCATCCCGAACTGTAGATGTTAGGGGCTCTTGTCAACTCTATCCATGTCTAATTTTTCTGCAATGTTGAGTATGTTTGTCACAGTTGAGTGCAGCCCTGATCACAAGGCAGGCTGGCAGATGTGCAGAAGGGGAATGGCTTTCTCAAAATGTGGAGGGCTTCTGTGAATGGAGAGCGCCTTTGAGATGGGACTGCTGGAGGGATCCTCGTCGGTCAAGACGGGAAGAGACGAAGAGAAACAGAAGAGATACACACCACAGAGGCTGGTTCACACAAAGGTCATAAGACTAATGACCGTCAACAATGACCCAATGGAGTGCACAGCAATCTTGCCCCCCTTAAGCACAAGCCTCTCAGTGTGGGCCCAAGTGAAGCACTTAGAAGTGGGGAACAACGACCACCGCCATCACAAACCAATCATAAAGTAGTCTCATAAACGACTAGATCGGCTCACAGTTTTGCTGCAGGGGTTGAATAATCAAGCGAAAAAATTTCCATAACCAAACAAGGCAAATGAACCATGGCAAGAAATTGGCCAGAAAACTGTCCAAAGTTAAATGCTAGAGGGCAGGATTAAATATAAATACAGCAGTGTTATACCAGTTAGGGTTCCTAATAGGACACAGGTTAGCACAGACTAAAGAAAACAACACAACTCGAGTAGGAAACTGCCACAAAAAAATATGACTGCAGAGCATCTGTATCCAGTTAATATCTTTTCAGCATTTAGAACAGTGATTCCCAACCAGGAATACTTGAAAGAGGTACTTGGAAAGATTGTGGAGTAGCTCAAGTAATTTGAAAAGACAGAAGTAAAAATTTTAATTAAAAAAAAAACCAAAACAATATTCAGTCAGCTATAACACCTGAACCCACTAGTTAGCAAGCGAGCAGAGAACTTGAAAGTAATGGATCAACACTTCAAATAGCTAAAGTTAATGGATAAATGGTTGAAATAAATGGTGGTGTCACTTAAGGGGTACTTGAGCTCCCCTGACGGGGCTCAAGGGGGCTTACAACTGAGAACAAAGAGGTGGAAAACATGGCTGTTTATGAACATGGTAATATTCAACAAGTAATCACTCCTCTTTGGCATCCTGTGAAAAATGTCGTTTCACAAACTCCAAAAATGAGACATTTAAGTTCAAGTGACAAAGATCTCCAACAGCAACAGAAATTATGACTCTTGTCTATTGGAAGCAAAGGAACGTGTGGGATGTTGTTATAGAGCCGTAAAGTCACCAGAGAAAGGAGGGGTCATCAAAGCAACGTCCAACTTTGACATGAAGTTGTACTGTTCGTTTCCTGTCAACGTTGGGTTCTTTTAACTAAGACCATTACCGTTCGGTCTGTGTGGCTGGCTTAACCAAACCTTAACCACAGAAACCAACAAACCAACCAAGAAACGCTTCTATGTGTCGCTCTGGAAGGCAGTTACAAAGTATGTTGTCATGTAATTCGGAGGATTTGTTGGCACATGCAACACAATGCAACTTGTACTAGTTTAACTGAGCTGATGAAGTGCTCCGATGAGTCGCACAGTGCATACAATTCTGTACTGTCTCTTGTGTTGAGGACCTAACACCCTGTTGGAGTGGTTGCTGAAGGACGAGGGAAATCATATAAAGGGCCCGAAAAAGAGGGGGCCTGACATCATCAAATCTGAAAGGTTACTGGCCAACGCTCGGCGCTCCTGCTCAAGAAAAACACTATTGATATTCCGTGGGTTCGGCCGGGGACAATGCAGGGCCTGTCCCTCCCTCTCTCCCTCATGGCCTGGCATGGCAGAGATGTCACAGAGAGCACCAAACAAATGGATGGAAGGATAGAAAGGGATGGAGGGATGGGGAGGAGGAGGTGGAGGAGAACAAACGCATTGTTCTCAGGGTGGAGAAAGGGGTATTGTGAACAAGACAGATAGCTTATGTGGGAGAATGGGGTGGGGTGGGGAGAGGGACACAAAAGGACAGAGAAAGGTGAAACCTGGCATTTTTTTTTATTTTTTTTTTTTATATAGATGCCCCACTTTTTTCTTTGCAGTTGAAGGTAACCCATAACCCTGCTTTAGGGGACACCTCCTAAAACTTTAAAGGGAAACACAGTTGGGACAGTTTTAGCACCAAGGAGCCATAGTCATCTTGCCTCTCATCTGTCACAACCCCACAGATCAGTTCTGGGGCATTTTTCTTTTTAAATCATGCCCCACACTCCAAAGCCCCCGGCCACTTTCTAACATGTAGCTAAGCAGAGTTCAGAGGTGGTGAGCAGGTAGGTTTGCAACTGCAACTTCCCCCTGCGGGACCCCGGTCTGAATGGGTGACTTGATGTGAACTAACAGCACAGCTGTTTGAACACGGGCTAGGACCTTGGTGGAGATGGAGGCCGCTGTGCTGCAATGCCCCGCAGGCGCGTGATGTGCGCCAGCTGCTCCCTTCGGTAAACATCAGTGACACATATATACACACACACGGACAGTTAACCAGGCACACGCAGTTTCGCATGGAGACAGTAAAAAAAAAACAAAACAAAGAAAAACAACCCTATTTACACATGTACAAAAGAGGAAGCAAATAAAGAAACGTCTCAGCATGCAGGCACTTCACCCAACACAAAGGTACACA